GACTAAAATTTAAAGCTCTTAGAATCTTCATTTCCATCTGTCTGATTTGAAACTTGGTGTAGGTATTGTCAGTCACAAAGGCAAAGTCACCGATTTCTGGAGGGTACATTTCCTCGTATTTGCTTGCAACAAACATGGCAGTGACTCCAACCAGCTGCAGCATCTTCTTGGGCACACAGTTATCCTGCATGAACCGATCAATTATGGAAACAGTCATGTACATGGTCTCCTGCAGTAACCTGAATTTCACTTGAACTTGCACTGGCCAGTCAATTAGGATGGCTCTCATGTTTCCAGTGACTTCACGACCCATTAGGTATTTTGGTTTGACGGCTTGCTCTCCCTCAAGTTGTCTTAGATAAGCATAGATATCTTTCACATATTCACTACAAAGGTTTGGATCCGCTCCATCGTCTGCATCCACATCACTCACTGCAAGAATTACATCTGAGAAAGCCTGACACAAATATTCTTCTGCAGGGGCACAGCCAGATGTTTCCATGGGGCTTGGAGAGGGAGTATCGACCAAAATAGGCTCGGGGGAAAGTTTCTCTTCCTTAACAGGCTCCGGTTCCGGTTCTGGCTCCGGCTGGGGTTCCGGCACAGGTACAGGAGCCTTTTCCAGAGGTTTTGGTACTTTTTTAGCAGTAACTTTTCCAGCAGCTAAAGTTTTTGCTTCCTTTTTCAGAGGCAGTTTGGCCTGCGGTTGTTCACTGACTTTGTTACCGATGTCTCCAAGAGCTGTTCGGGGCCTCAGTCGGGGCTTAGAGATTGCAACAGAGGCCACAGGCACGCGCTTGGCCCCTGCCATACTGATCTTCGCCTTATTTTCAGCATTAATCTTACTGTTCCTGGTGATCCAGAGCGCCATGGCTTCTTCTGCACAGGGCAGCCGCTCAGCGAGGAGAGGGAGAGCACTGGAGCCCCCGACCAGCCGGGAGCTTGAGTCAACCACAGGCCAACAGCCGTTCCTCCGCAGCACGCCGGGCTCAGTTGAGCTATTTCAAATCCTAAAAGATGATGCTGTGAAAGTGCTGCACTCGATAGGCCAGCAAATTTGGAAAACTCAGCAGTCACCACAGGACTGGAAAAGGTCAGTTTTCATTCCAGTCCCTAAGAAAGGCAATGCCAAAGAATGCTCAAACTACCGCACAATTTCACTCATCTCAAACACTAGTAAAATAATGCTCAAAATTCTCCAAGCCAGGCTTCAACAATACGTGAACTGTGAACTTTCAGATGTTCAAGCTGGTTTTGGAAAAGGCAGAGGAACCAGAGATCAAATTGCCAAATCCGCTGGATCACTGAAAAAGCAAGAGAGCTCCAGAAAAACATCTATTTCTGCTTTATTGACTATGCCAAAGCCTTTGACTGTGTAGATCACCACAAACTGTGGAAAATTCTTCAAGAGATGGGACTACCAGACCACCTGACCTGCCTCTTGAGAAACCTGTATGCAGGTCAGGAAGCAACAGTTAGAGCTGGACATGGAACAAGAGACTGGTTCCAAATAGGGGAAGGAGTACGTCAAAGCTGTATATTGTCACCCTACTTATTTAACTTATATGCAGAGTACATCATGCGAAATGCTGGACTGGATGAAGCACAAGCTGGAATCAAGATTGCCAGGAGAAATATCAAAAACCTCACATATGCAGATGACACCACCCTTATGGCAGAAAGTGAAGAAGAACTAAAGAGCCTCTTGATGAAAGTGAAAGAGGAGAGTGAAAAATTTGGCCTGAAGCTCAACATTCAGAAAACTAAGACCATGGCATCTGGTCCCATCACTTCATGGCAAATAGATGGGGAAACAATGGAAACAGTGAGAGACTTTATTTTCTTGGGCTCCAAAATCACTGCAGGTGGTGACTGCAGCCATAAAATTAAAAGGCTTACTCCTTGGAAGGAAAGTTATGACCAACCTAGACAGCATATTAAAAAGCAGAGACATTACTTTGCCAACAAAGGTCCATCTAATCAAGGCTATGGTTTTTCCAGTAGTCGTATATGGATGTGAGAATTGGACTGTGAAGAAAGCTGAGCACAAAAGAATTGATGCTTTTGAATTATGGTGTTGGGGAAGACTCTTGAGAGTCCCTTGGACTGCAAGGAGATTCAACCAGTCCATCCTAAAGAAAATAAGTCCTCAATATTCATTGGAAGGACTGATGCAGAAGCTGAAACTCCAATACTTTGGCCACTTGATGAACTGACTCATTGGAAAAGACCCTGATGCTGGGAAAGGTTGAAAGTAGGAGGAGAAGGGGATGACAGAGGATGAGATGGTTGGATGGCATCACCGACTCAATGGACATGAATTGGAGTAAACTTCAAGGGATGGGTGAAAGACAGGGAAGCCTGGCATGCTGCAGTCCAGGGGGGTCACAGCAAGTCAGACACAACTTAGCCACTGAACAGAACAGAACAGAAAGGTCTTTATTTTTTGCCTTCATTTCCACCAAATACAGAATTATATAATGACAGGTGGGTTTTGTTGTTTTTCAGTTGTTTTTAAAGCAATTTACAAAGACATTTTGTTATCTTATGGCTTTCATCATTTTTGTTAAGAAGTGAGCCATTATTCCAGTCATTGTTCTCAAGTATATAATGTGTCTTTTTTACTCATTTTTCCTTTAGATCCTTCATTTTATCTTTGGTTTTCAGCATTTTTATTGTGTGCTTATGTGTAATTTCCTTTGTATTTTTCCTGTTTGTGGTTCAGTTGAGCTTCTTGGATTTCTGGGATTATGTCTTTCATTAATTTTTGGATGTTCTTGAGCATTATTTCTTCAAATACTTCTTCTGCACCAGTCTCTTTTTCCTCTTCTTCTAGGATTCCAGAAACATATATATGTGAGACTTCATATGGGCAGATGCCCTGATTTTTTTTATTTGTATTTCAGTTAGGATACATGCTATTAACCTGTCATCAAATTCACTGCTCTTTTACTCTTGCTATTCTCAGTTAACTCTTAAATCCATCTAGTAATGTCTTTATTCCTCGTATCATATCTTTAATTTCTAGCATTTCCATTCTGTTTTGTATTTTCTTTCTTAATTTATTTTTGGCTGCGCTGGGTCTTAGTTGCTGCGTGTGGGCTTTCTCTAGTTGAGGTGAGTAGGGGCTACTCTCTAGTTGCAGAGCTCAGGCTTCTCATTGCAGTGGCTTCTCCTGTTGCAGAGCGCAGCTCTAGGTATGTGGGCTTCGGGAGTTGCAGCGCGCAGGCTCCGTAGTTGTGGCACACAGGCTTAGTTGCTGTGCAGCATGTGGGATCTTCCCGAGCCAGGGACAGGATCTATGTGGCCTGCATTGGCAGGTGGATTCTTGGCCACTGGACTACCAGGGACGTTCCCTATTCTGTTTTGGTTTTTTTTAAATCATCTACGTATCTTAGCTATAATTCCCCATCTCTGCATTCTTGCTTGTTTTTCCACTAGATTTTCAGTGTTTCATCACAGCAATTTTCTTTTTTGCCGTGCCTGGAGTCTCAGCACTGATAAGATTCCAGAGATCTCTTCATACTTTGTAACTGAGTCACCAGCTTCACAAATCCTAAGAGAGTCATCTCTGCTGCCAGCTTTTTTTTTTTTTTCCCTTTTTTTAATCACTGAGGATTTCTCTTTCCTTTCTCATCAGCCCCAGGATTTCTTGCCTTGGGAGATTTCTCTCTCTCTCCTGCTTCCCTGCCCCTAATCCTTGCATGGAGACTGCTTTATACTCTCAGTGAAGACCATGTATATCTCAGAAGGAGAGCTTGTTTTAGCTCTCTTATCCCACTTCCTGTATATGGTAGCTGAGCATCCAGAATGCTGACAGATTTCTCTCAACTTTGTTGCCCTGGTGCCTGTCCCCTCCCTGTCTTTAGAAGGTTACTGCTTTATATTTGGGAGAGGCCATGAATGTATCAGAGGGATTGCTCCACTTACCTGCCTTGCCCCAAGACCTTGGCTTGCTATACCAAGCACTAAGTGAAGATCTGTAGGAAAGAGTTTTGGGTAGGTATAATCTCATTATATGGCTGGGGCTCACTGGAGTTCCCATCTATCATGTTTATGACCAATTCCCCTTCCCATCCCTCTGCCAAGAATAGTGAGAATAACTGTGAGTCTTTTCTATAAAGGGCTCATCATTTTGTTTCTAATCTAGTTCCTTCTTGAGAATTGTTTCACACTCATTTTCAGCAACAGAAGTTCTAGGTTTTAAATTGAATCTTCATTTGGCAAAACATCTTTTTACCCCAAATGGTCTCTCTTTTTTTTAGTTATCAGTTTGATTTCTTTCCACATACTGTTTGAGTATAGACTAGATATTTGTACATTAAATAAATGTACAAATCTATTTATTTTGAGAGACAAGATATGCACAAAAGACTGTTGATTGTCATGGACATAGAACTTACATTTTAAGTAAAAATCTTTAAGAATTAGAACCATTTGGGGGAGGGGAGATGGGGGAAAGGGGGTACCTGGCTCCCTAAATGAAATTACACCCACTGAATCTCAGACATAGCATCTCTGGGTGGTCTTCCCCTCTAACAGTCCATCAAAGGGTAGTACTGATTTGTCTCAGGTTTTAAGTTCTCTCTTCTCTTTAGCAAAGGAAGTTGGAATTCCAAAAATAATGTTTGAAGTAGCCTTATTTCTTGACCTTAGTAACTATCAAAGTCTAAGGGACACTCCTGGTCAGAGTAGATAAATACATAAGAAAAGAGAAGGCTAATGCTCTTTGAGGATTTAAAAGGGAATTTAAATTAATTATTTCTATTGATAGAAAAATATATAAAAGAATAAAATTACTGAAATAATTTATTTTTATACCTATGTGTAATATATTTCCATGTAACTTCTATGTCCGAAGTATTGTTCAGAAACACAATACAAATTAAACCTTAGTAGTTACTGTGTTTTATTTTTAAGTGTTGCAAAATAGAAAACAGGAACTGTTAGCACCCTCTCTAAAATCAAAGATATTCTAATTGTTTTCTATTTTGTCACAGGATAAAGAAAGAAGAAGCGACATGGCAATCTGGACAGAAAATGAAGTTTATCTTGGATATACTCTTCTTAAATTTGTTAAAATAGTAACTACTGAAAAACTGAAAGGACTTCTAAATATGTCACCAACTGCTACTCTGACTATACACAGGGTTGAGTATACAGGACACCCTTTGGAACTTGCCTTGTTATTAAATTACTGCATTATATGTAACACCTCCAAAACAATTTACCTAGTGATATACAATGAAGATACAATACAATGGGTATTCCAAGACTTTGCATTAGATGTCACTATTGGCACTTTTTTAATTCCATATTTCTTATATTCAGCAAAGCCAGAATTATTACTATGGGACAAACATAGGATCTACTATTATTACCATAATTTCACAGATACTGGAGTTTTACAAACAACTACAGAATTTGGAAATCTATCAAGATTATCACAAAACAGCATTATTCACAATGTTCTTATGGGTAAGTTATCTTCAATCTGCAAAAATTATTCTAGATTTCATAGACATCTTCCTTATGAAGATGTACAGTTGTATTAATATATGGTGTTTTTGATAAAGATGTTTAGATGTTTTACCATCTAAAAATGGTTATCTTTATAATTCTATTAATGCTAACTAGAATCTCATAAGGGACTTCCCTGGTGGCTCAGAAGGTAAAGAATCTGCCAGCAATGCAGGCTGCCCACTGTGATATTCTTGCCTGGAGAATTCCATATGTAGAAGAGTCTGGTGGGCTACAGTCCATGGGGTCTGAAAGAGTCGGACGCAACTGATAGACTAACACTTTCACTTTTTTTTTTTTTTTTTCAGAATCTCATAAAGCAAAATGGCAAACTCAAGTTCTTTATTCAGAGGTACATTTTGATCAATCAGCAGATACACATGCAACTTACATATGTGTTTTCAGTGTAGGAGGTGATGTGTGGTTGTATTCACTTCCTAGGGCTTAGGGCTCGCATAACAAAGTACCACAAACTGGTACAAACTTAAAGCCACAGAAATTTATTGTCTCAGTTCTAGAGGCTAGAATTCCACAGAAGTGTTGGCAGGGCCATACTCCCTCTGAAATCTGAAGGAATCTTTCCTAGCTTCTATGACTTGCTGGCAAACCTTGCCATTCCTTCCTTGCAGCTGCATCATTCCGGTCACTGCCTGTGGCATCACATAGCATTCTTCCTGTCTTCATACACCATCTTGTTATAAGGACACCAGGGCCAACCGTAGCCCAGAATGATCTCATCTTAACTAATTGCATCTGTAATGACTCTGTTTCCAAATATAGTCATGTTCTGAAGCAGCATCTGGAGTTAGAAGTTCAACATAACTTTTTTGAGGGGACACAATTCAGTTAAACTGAATTCTATAACAGATGTTGTAGAGTTAAACCAATCTGTTTTCAAGTCCATAAAAATGTCATTTAACGTTTCCAAACCTCAGTTTTCTAATATAAAATATATTAATAGGACTGTCACGTTGACTAGATAAGGGGTTGTATATAAAATGCTTAGAATAATACTTGGCAAGTGGTAAGCCTTTAACTAATAGTTATTCTTGGGCTTCCCTGGCGGCTCAGTGGTAAAGAATCCACCGGCCAATGCAGGAGACACAGGTTCTATCCCTAATCAAGAAGCATCCCACTTGCCTCGGAGAAACGAAGCCTGTATGCACAACTATTGCACCTGTGCTCTAGAGCCCGGGAGCCGTAATTACTGAAGCCCGCATGCCTTAGAACCCATGCTCTACAACAAGAGGATCCACATCAATGAGAAGCCCACACACCGCAACTAGAGATAAGTCAGCACAGCAACAAAGACCCAGCACAGCCAAAAATTAATTAATTAATTAAATTTAAAAACATATTATTTATTCTTCATGTTATTATTCCTAAGGTAGTGTACTAGACATTATATGACACGCAAAGAAAGTTTGATCCTCAAGGAATCTAGTTAGGAGTTAAATTAACTGGGACATTTAAAGTAAATATCACTGTTGTTTGTAATTGATCTTTCTTGACCCCATATCACCTTCAACTCACAGCCATTCAATTTTGCTACTGCCATTTACAGCAAAACTCCAGGAAGAATTGCCTACTTTCACTTTTTCCTCTTTCCTCTCATTCTTTCTTGAATCCACTCTAATCAAATTTTCTCAAAATCTGCCCTTGCCAGGGGTTTCGATGACTCCCCTTTGTTAATCCAGTGGCCAATTTCCAGTCATCTTTTGTGATCTGGCAGCAGCAGCATTTAAAACAATTCAACATGGCCTTTTTCCTGAAACAGGTTTTCCCAAAGACTTTTGGGGATATTTTTGATCTTCCTCCTACTTCACCAGCCTCAACCTCTTTTCCATTCTCATCTTCTTAATTCCTAAATGGAGAAGTAATTGAACTCTCTTTACATTCATTCTTTGTATGTAATTCATTCTAATGTAATTCTTTACATTACATTCATTCTTTGCCCTCCAGCCAAGATCCCTAGCCTGAACTCCAAACTGCTATTTCTTACTGCTTCTTGATTCTTTCATTCAGATGACTAGTGGGCACCTCAGACTAACATATCCAAAACTGAATCCTTGAGTCCCTCACCCACACTGCAGCCTGCTTCTTCCCTTGTCGTCCCCTACCAAGTAAATAGCTCTTCTTTTCTTCCAACCGCAAACCTTGACCTCATCCTTGAATTCTCCCCTTTTACATCCCATAGCAAGCCATTATCAAATCCTGTTGGCTATGTGTAAAAAGTATATCTAAACTCAATCCTTTTTTCACCATTCCCACTCCAGTCCAAGCCCCTATCCTCTCTAGCCCATAAGTATAAGAGTTTTTTAAGTGGTCTCTCACCTTTTATCTGTGTGTCCCCATCATCAACCAGGTTAGGGTACACCTAGGAGCCAGAGTGAGCCTTTGAAAATATATGCAAAATCATATTCCTCTGCTTAAAACCCTCATTTGGCTTCTTATATCACTCAGAATAAAATCTAAACCTTTAGCATAACCTGAAACACAGTATGAGATCTGGCCCTAGACTCTGATGTGGTCTCCTATCACTTGACTCTGTTCACTGTTACCTGGCCAGACTGGCCTCTTTGCTATTCCTTGGATATCTGCTGCCAATATTCTTCACTTTGATATTGACATAACTCTTCTACTTAATTCAGGCTTAAGTCCAAGTATTTTTTTATGTGTGACTTCTCTGGTAATGTCATAATATGAAAGGACTTTCCAATTATTAGAAATATTGTCATATATTTTCTGTGAATAATTTAACTTTGGGAGTTCCCTGGTGATCCAGTGGTTAAGAATCTGCCGTGCAATGCGGGGACACAGGTTCGATCCCTGGTTGGGAAACTGGGGTCCCACATGCTGTGGAGCAACTGAACCCATGCACCACACCTAGAGACTCCACGCACTGCAACTGGGGAGTCCGTGCACCGCAATGGAAGACCCTGTGTGATTCAGTGAAACCCCATGTGCAACTAAGACCCGAGACAGCCAAATAAATCCTAAAATAAAATGTTTAAATATTTTAAAAAACAGTTTAACATTATAATTCTTATGTTTCAATCTTTTATTCATCTATATTATTGTATTTGGTATAAGTTAGAAACCTAATTTTGTTTCTTATTTTTCCTCTGAAACCTGGTATTGCCTTCAGATCAGTCTTCTATTAAGCAAAGCTTGCCCCACAGATCTGAAATACCAATTTTAGTATGTATTTATTCCTCATGTTAAGTGAGTTCAGTTTTAGGCTATTCCCTCCCACTCATCTGTCTTCACAAGATCTATCTTGTTTTGATTACTGCAGCTTTAATCACCTAACACACTAAGTGTGTGTGTTTAGTCAACAAGTGTGTGTGTCCGACTCTTTATGACAGTATGAACTGTAGCCCACCCAGTCTCCTCTGTTTATGAGATTTCTCAAGCAAGAATCTGGAGTGGGTTGCCATTTCCTTCTCCAGGGGATCTTTCCTACCCAGGGGTTGAATTCACATCCTTTGCATTGGCAGATGGATTCTTTACCACTAAGCCACCAGGAAAGCCCCTAACACACTATGTAATTTACTTATTTTATGTTTATTGGTTGCCTTCCCCAAAGTAATGTAAGCTACAAAGGAAAAAAATCTTTTAGTTTTTTACTAATGTGTCCTCCCAACTATCTAGAGTGGTGTGTAGCTATAGTTGAGCATTCAATAAATATGTAATGAATAGATGACTGCATATTTGCCATATCTTCCCAATCAGGAATGTTATATGTCTTCATTATTTTTGTTTTCTTTAATTGGTCTATTAAATTCTTTCATCTCTTCTTCAGTCAATTTTAGATGTTTGTATTTATTGGCAAAGACTTCACATTTTAATGTTTTTCTTACATATCTGTATTTGTATTCTCTTGCTCATTAATAATATTGTTTATGCCCCTACTTGCTGGTTTGCAAGATATTTATTATTTTTAGAGGTTTTTTTTTTTGGTTTTGTTTTCCTTTCCTTTGAAAAGAACTGTTTTATTTATCAACTCTATATCCTTTTTTATTTAATTCCTTAATTTCTGCTTTTATCATTAATGATTCTTTTATATAGAGTGCTATATAAAAGTTATGCAAACTTTTATATAGTGTTATTATTCTCATCATTTTAAAAAATAATTTCTAATTTTCATCTTAACTTCATGTTTAATCCAAAATTCACTTAATAGTGTTTTAGGGAGCAGTGTGATAGGAAAATGGGAGTATGTTGACACTGTTACTATAATCTTCTGATCCTAAAAAACAGCATTTCTGATTTGAGTTTGATTAGAATATAATTTATGGCAATTTGTGAAAATATCATTTAATTATTTAGATTCCAAATGGAAGGTGCAAAAGCACAAAACACTCTGAATCTCCCTAACTCTTTTATTCACCTTTCTCCTTTCAACTAGTCCTTTCTAAGTGTTGTTTTTGACAGTATAATCCTGGGAGCTATACACAGTGTCGTATCTGAAAAGAAAGCTATGAAACCAACTAGACCACCTGTTCATTTTATAGATATGGTTATAGAACCAAAGAGGTTAAGAAATGTACTCTTTATGAATGTCTATAACTTAGTTATAATACTCTATTAAGAGGAGAAAGTTGATTATTATTTATAGAGTGAACCTGAAAAGGTGCTAGCTCCTTCACTACCACCTTTTCTTCATCCCAACTGCATTAGCCTACTACTGCTGCTGGGCTTCCTAAGGTGGCTCAGTGGTAAAAAGAATCTGCCTGTGAATTCAGGAGACGCTGGAGACACAGGTTCACTCCATGGGCCAGGAAGATCCCCTGAAGGAGGAAGTAACAACCCACTCCGGTATTCTTGCCTGGAAAATTCCATGGACAGAGGAGCCTGGCAAGCTAAAGTCCATGAGGTCACAAACAGGTGGACATAACTAAGCAACTGAGCATGCACACACTATGGCTGCCATAAAATATATCACAGACCAGGTGGCTTAAACAATAGAAATTTATTTTTTCACAATTCTGGAGGCTAGAAGTTCAAGATCAAGATGTCATCAAGGTTGGTTTCTGACTGGCTTAGAGACAGTGCCCACCTTCTCACTGTGTCCTCACATAGCCTTTTTTCTTTGTGCCGGCAGAGAGAAAGAGATCTCTGGTATATCTTCCTCCCCTGATAAAAACATCAGTCATATTGGATTAGGGCCCCATCCTTCTGACCTCATTTAACCTCAATTACCTCGTTAGAGCCTCTACATTCAAATACAGTCACAATGAGAGTTAGGGCTTCAACACAGGCATTTTGAGGGGACATAATTCGGTCCATATCACAATATTTCCTAATAATACCATTCCTGTCATACTCATCCTCATTTTTATTTCATGCACTAACTCAAGCTCTTTCTTGTATGTTAATGTGATTATAAAGGTCATACAGTGAAGGCAAGAAGAAAGGTACGCAGAAAAACAAAATGCTCTGCTATGAAGTGGGAGAGCAGCTCTCAAACATGTAAAGTTATCGGTTTGTGTCTGCACACCTTGATTTTCTCAAAGTATATAAATATCATTAGGAAAGAAATTATTTTGGTTAATAGTGCACTTAAGTAGGGGCTTCCCTGGTGGCTCAGGTGGTAAAGAATCTACCTGCAATGTGGGAGACCCCGGGTTCGATCCCTGGGTTGAGAAGATCCCCTGGAGGAGGGAATGGCTACCCATGCCAACATTCTTGCCTGGAGAATCCCATGGACAGAGTAGCCTGGCGGGCTACAGTCCATGTCAGTATGGATTTATGTTAACTTAGAGTAACAAAAACTCTTCTCTTTTTTTTCCAGATTATTATGGAAATATTGTGGTAAAAATGGAAAACAATGTAATGTTTTATTTCAAGCTTAAAGTCAAAGATGCAATAAAGCTACATTTATGGACAAATAGCACAGTAAAATCATTAGTTTGCTTTAAACCATCTGGTAGTATGTATCTCCTATATGTTTTTGAAAATGGCAAAATATATCCGGAAGATTATCCCTTAAAACTGGAAGCACAAAGTATAACTTTCAAGACAAAAGAAAAGTGCCCCTACATGGCATTTCATAATGATATTGTTCATTTTTCTTACCTTTTGGACAAGGGACAAAACCTGTCAGTTTGGGCTCAAATAGTCTATCCAGAAAATATTGGTCTATATATCATTGTAGAATCATATGGCCCCAAAATATTAGAAATGAAAAATAAGATTCACTATGAAATTGCCTCAGGATATTGCAGTAAAACCATGGTAAGTTAATATTTTTAAATTCTTTGATTTTAATAAATGTAAAATTATAATATTAACATTTAAATAAAACAAATGCCTCTTCAAGTTTAGCTTTGAAATATTGAGAAATATGTATGTTTTTAATGAATAATGATATGATAACTCATTAACTTCTGAGTAACAATTTTTATTTTCAATATCCAGTGCCTCTTTGCCACTTAAAAGCACATTCCTATTGAACTCTTTTATTGTCAATTGTATTTTTCACTTCCCTTTAAAATAAAAATAGTATGTGACTGTTTTGTGAAGTTCTATCTGCTATCAAAAAAGCAAAAGAGTTCCATAAAAACATCTATTTCTGCTTTAATGACTATGCCAAAGCCTTTGACTGTGTGGATCACAATAAACTGTGGACAATTCTGAGAGATATGGGCATACCAGACCACCTGACCTGCCTCCTGAGAAACCTATATGCAGGTCAGGAAGCAACACTTAGAACTAGACATGGAACAACAGACTGCTTCCATTTCACAAAAGATAACATTAAACTTTTTAAATCTAATTATATCCAAGAAAATTCTTGTAAAATAATGTTTATGACTATATATGAAGAAAAATGTGGCATACAGAAGAATACAGGTGCAAATCTGACAACTAGTTCCTTTCTTTGAACATGAAACTAGATTTTTTTTCCCATTTTTTGCTCTGTATTTTTTTAACTTTTTATTGGAGTACATTCAATTAACAATGTCATGATAGTTTCAGGTAGACAGCAAAGGGGCTCAGTCATACATATACATGCATCCATTCTCCCCCAAATTCCCCTCCCATGCAGGCTGTCACATAACACTGAGCAGAGTTCCCTGTGCTATATACAGTAGGACTCTGTTAGTTATTCATTTTATATATAGCAGTGTGTACATGTACATCCCAAACTCCCTAATAATCCGTTTTCCCCATTCTTCCCCTCTGGCAACCATAAGTTCATTCTCTAAGTCTGTGAGTCTCTTTCTGTTTTGTAAATAAGTTCATTTATATCATTTCTTTTTAGATTCTGCATATAAGGGATGTCATATGATATTTTCCCTCCTCTGTCAGATTTACTTCACTCAGCATGACAATCTCTAGGTCCATCCGTGTTGCTGCAAATGGCATTACTTCATTCTTCTCAATGGCTGAGTAATATTCCATTGCATATATGTACCACATCTTCTTTATCTATTCCTCTGTTGATGGAAATTTAAGTTGCTTCCATGTCTTGACTATTGTAAATAGTGCTGCAATTAACATTAGAATGAATGTATTCTTTCAGACCATGTTCTTCTCCAGGTATATGCCCAGGGGTAGGATTGCAGGGTCATCTGGTAGCTCTATTTTTAATTTTTTAAGGAACCTTCACACTGTTCTCTGTAGTGGCTATACCAATTTACATTCCTACCAACAATGAGGGTTCTCTTCTCTCTATACCTTCTCCAGCATTTATTGTGGATTTTTTGATGATAGCCATTTTGACTGGTATGAGGCAACATCTCGTTGAAGTGAAGCTAGATTTATTTTTAGTGTGATTACTTTCATAGCCTCAACTTTATCATCAAAGATTGCATATTTTATGTCATTTAACTTAGTATCCAGCATACAAGTAAATAAACTTTGTTTAAGAGATAAGATTTTTCACTAAGGTTTTTAAAATATTTATTTGGCTGCACCAGGTCTTAGTTGCAGCGTGTGAGATCTACTAGTTGCAGGGATCAAACCCAGGCCCCCTGCATTAGGTGTGCAAAGTCTTAGCCACTGGACCACCAGAGAAGCCCCTCACTAAGATTGTTTTACAGACACAAAGTCTGTTATCACAACAGATTAACCAGAACCAAATGACCTCTCTGAAGATATATATATATATATGACAAAGAACTATGTAGAAATTATAGCTTCCATACTTCAAAAATGTGAAATTTATAATTTTCTGCCTTTGTCATCATATATGTTCTATAAATAGCTTTACCCTGAGATGATAGTAACCACATAGGATACTGAAAACTGAGATGAAACATGGTTCAGCGGGAAGAAAATATGCAAAAGGCAAACGGACATTTTAAAAACTTACTCAAAAACAACAGAGGAAAGATCAAGCAAATAACTCTCCATAGTCTCAAAAACTATAGACAATATGATATCTGTAATCGTTAAAAAACCTCAAAGAAGAATTTAAAAGGTCCAGAGACAGGTTATTATAAACCAGAAGAAAGTGAAAAGCTTTCTATGCTGATACAAATGAAAAATAAAAGAATATTCCAACAACAAAAATTAAATGAGGAGAGAGAAACAATGTAAATAAAAGAGCTACGATAATATAAAAAGTAAAATAAGGGAATATAACAAGGAAAATCAAATATCTACATAACTGGAGTTTCTGAGATAGACAACAAATTAGAAAAATGCTAAATATTCTTTTTCTTACCTAGAGAAAGATTTAAATCTGTCTTGAAAGTATCCATTGTCCCCATTCCCAATTTTCCTGCGTTACATAAACTTTTTTATTTTCTTTTTCAGACAATAACATTTTCTCAGAATATAAATTATGAGGCAGTAGATGATTATTTCAAGTTGCAGTAAGTATGACTTTTAAAAGAGTCTATTCAATATTAAATATGCTATTCAGGTTATTGATTTGTACATATTATTTTATTTAAATGGCCTCATATCCTTTTAAATATCCAGATTTCAAATTCTTTTAGATATCTCAAAAGATCCAAGATTAGTATTCTATAGAAAAAACGTAAAATACTCCTTTAGTTTAATGGAAACATAAACCATCTGAAGGTGCTATTCATTCAACTGAAGGTACAAAAAAACCAGGCAATTTCTTATTTCAATGTTTTTGAGCACCTTTTATCATTCATTCCCATCCCAAAGTCTTTACATACTATGCTTAAGCAAAAACTAGAACTCCAATCCCCAAATGTCTTTAATTATGACTAGAGCCAGATAAATTTCTGAATCTTGGAATAAGGTAGCACCATTAAACACTTAATTCATTGAGGAAGGCAACCAACATGGTATTGTATTTTAAGGCATTAGGTTATCATTATGTCCTGATTGAATATATTTTCTGGAAAAGTAGCATTGTTCTAGGAAAAAGTCCATTTTTCTTTAGCTTGCAGCTACTCCACCTGAGTTTGCATGCCTGCTCCATGCCAGGCACTCCAGGTGTTCAGAACACATGGTAAACAAGAAATATGGAGTTACTGCTATCATGAGATATATCTCCAGTGGGAGAAGACAAGCAGCAAGTAATCAAATAAATAAACAGGATGGCCCCAAACAATTGTAAGTGCTATTAAGAAAATAAAGCAGAAAGAAGTAGTAGAATATCACCAGGAAGTATAGGAAGGAAATGCCACTTTAAACACAGTAGTCAAGAGAGGCTCAAAACACCCCTTTCCTTCTAACTCATCAATTTTTCTCTTGAGTTCCTTTGAGTATTTTTGGTTTTGTGGATATTTATTCAGAATTCTGTTGCTGTACAATACACATCAAATTGTCCAGGATTGTTGTTGTTTAGTCGCTAAGTGATGTCAAGACTCTTTTGCAACCACATGGACTGTAGCTCGCCAGGCTCCTCTATCCACAGGATTCCCCAGGCAAGAATACTGGAGTGGGTTGCCATTTCCTTCTCCAGGGAATCTTCCTAACCTAGGGATCGAACCTGCATCTCTGGCATTGACTGGCAGATTCTTTACCACTAAGTCACCAGGGAGGTTACTTTGGGTATTTTTTTGTGTGTGGATATTTACTCAGAATTCTGTTTCTTCACAACACACATCAAATTGTCCAGGATACTTTAGGTCAGTCAGGACTTGAGAAAAAAAAATACCAAAAACCTTGAAATTGGTGCAAAAAAAATCTACCTATAAGTAAAATTATGTAGAAAATTGAAGATGTAATATCTACTTCAGTGTCCTTTTTACAGATCTATACTATACTACTGAATAGACCAAATCAAATATTCTATCAAATTGGGAGAGAAAGTCATAACTGACATAATTATAAGATGCTTCCTGATTTCAAAGGTGTTAGAAATAAAAATGCATCTTAAAGTTGATGAAATATTGTATCAGTTCAGTTCAGTCCCTCAGTCATGTCCGACTCTTTGCAACCCCATGAACTGCAGCACTCCAGGCTTCCCTATCCATCACCAACTCCCAGAATCTGCTCAAACTCATTCGGTGATGAGTTCATCAATTCGATGATGCCATCCAATCATCTCATCCGCTGTCATCCCCTTCTTTTCCTGCCTTCAGTCTTTCCCAGCATCAGGGTCTTTTCCAGTTAGTCAGTTCTTCACATCATGTGGCCAAAGTATTGGAGCTTCAGCTTCAGATGATATATTGTATAGTGATTTAAAAAATAGAAAAATGTGCTATTTGTATCCTCACTTATTTAGCATATTTTATATATATATGAGAAATAGGAAAATACAATGAATACTGAAAGAAAAAGAACATTTGTTTGTGGTTAGTTTGTATTTGCTTTTTCCCAGTTTTTTCAATAAGTAAAAACCTTAGCAGGGGCAGGAAACAAATAATACTTTCAAAACTTTTCTTGAGTTTTCTTGTAATTTTTGAGACCTCCTATTTTGCCTGAGCAGAAATGATCCATGTGCATTTCCTAATCTACAAAGGCATGATGTCTGATCTCCCTTTTGCTTCCAGTCAGATCATATTGTGCAGCATAATGAGGTTCAGAAAACTAATTTCATTAACTAGTATCTATTGTTCCAAAGGCATTATCAATGGGGGAAAATCTGTAGAGGCTGGAAAAGGAATCTATGCAATGCCTTGTTATTGTGGTTTAGTCACCCAGTCGTGTCTGCTTCTTACAGCCCCATGGACTGTAGCCCACCAGGCTCCTCCGTCTATGGGACTTCCCAGGCAAGAATACTGGAGTGGGTTGCCATTTCCATCTCCAGGAGATGGATCTTCATACCCAGGGATCAATACCACGTCTCCTGAGTCTCTTGCATTGGCAGGCAGATTCTTTACCACTGAGCCACCAGGGAAGCTATGGCTGTGAAATACCATCAGGAAACAGGCAACAATGTTAGCAGCAAAATCCCATCCTCAGGAGACTAAGGGTGTTAATGAAACACAAGGGCTGAAATGCTGATGGAAGTTCATTTTTATTTCCCATTATGCTGACTTATGCTGGCCAAAATATGGGATACCATGAAATGAAAAAGACTTTAGGATATGACCACAATGCACCTTAGCAGAAGCAGCAAGCGGTCACCACCACCACTAGGCCTCTAGGATTCCTCAGTGGGGGGTTCAATCACATCTTGAAAATGGGACTTTCATATGTTCTACACAAAGCAGACTCATGGCTCCCTCCCTTGGGATTCTACGGTCATTTGTATGTGTTGTTTCTCCTAGATATGAGAACACAGGTCTTCTGCTTGTCCACGTGAGACCCAGTGAACTTGCAAAAACATGTCCAATATCCCAAAAGGTAAGTAACAGAGTAGAAGATCAAAAAATCTTCAATAAGACACAGGTGGTAAACTAAATAATACATATTAACTCCATTCAATACCACTCCCCCTAACATGTAGCAACATGCTGTAATATTTCACTGTAGAGAAAGCATTATTTTACTTTGGAAAGAGAAGATTAGATTACTTACTGCCTTCCATGAATTTACATCAGAATATAAACATGCGTAAAGATGTAAACTTAATTTTAAAATGTATTTACATACTTATATAAATAAAACCGTGTAAAGGAAAACTGAAATTAATGAGAACAGCCAAATTTGGATATGGTTTGTCAGCGAAGACTGCTAGTCATGTCCGTATTGATGCTGCGTTTATTTATTTTAAAAAATGGACCATTTCTCCGTTTAAAAAATTTTATTGCATGCCTACCATGTTTATGTGTTTCAGCCTGTGTGCTAAGTAATGGGAATTACCAAGATGGAAAGAGTCCTTTCCAAAGGGGAAAGCATAAACTAGTATAAGAGAATGTGAAATATGCAATTATCAAATAGCCCAGAGGAAAGAGTGAGGAATTTTGTTTGGGAGGGGAAAAGTGAAAAGAAGATACATGAAATGACTGTTGAGGGGTAAGTAGAAGTTGAGCAGGAAGATGCAAAGGGAATTCAAGAAAGAGGCATACACAAAAGCACAGCAGTGTTATGTCGCAGTGGGGTGTTCAGATAACCACACACTACCACCTCCTTTGAGTGTTTGCTCCCCGCTGAGGGATGACTCCTCTCTTTATTCTTTCTCATTCCAACTAATAATCAATAAACATATATTGAGCACCCGCTACATACCAGGCAGAGCACAATGGGGCATACCCACATGAAGAATTCAAAGTTAAATGAGACATAGGCCCTGCTCTTCAGGACCTCGACACCAAGAGCCTGTTCCTATCAGGGCAAGATTCCAAGAATTTAGAGGGAACCTTAAACTAAGATCCATCCTTGAGCATGACTGAAGCACATTGCTTCCCCAGGAAATGCATACTGACCATTCCTCCTGTTTACCCACCATGCTGCCTACCCAGCTTAATCTGCTGAAGAGGCAAAAACCTGCCACCTAGCAAGTTCCTGCCCCAGCCTCGGTCTGCCTTCTCTATCTTTCAGTTCAGTTCAGTTCAGTTCAGTCGCTCAGTCGTGTCTGACTCTTTGCAACCCCATGAATCGCAGCATGCGAGGCCTCCCTGTCCACCACCAACTCCCGGAGTTTACTCGAACTCATGCCCATCGAGTCAGTGATGCCATCCAGCCATCTCATCCTCTTTCATCTCATCCTTGTCCCCTTCTCCTCCTGCCCCCAACCCCTCCCAGCATCAGGGTCTTTTCCAATGAGTCAACTCTTCGCGTGAGGTGGCCAAAGTATTGGAGTTTCAGCTTCAGCATCATTCCTTCCAATGAACACCCAGGACTGATCTCCTTTAGGATGGACTGGTTGGATCTCCTTGCTCTCTATCTTTAGCTCCACTTTTTTCCATATAAGTTGCCTCCCTGAAGCACCATGATTTCCTCCATCTCTTTCCCTGTCTAATTTAGAGATATGCCCCCTCTCCTGCCCAGCCCAGGCATTACAAAACATATTAATCTAGAGTGAAAGTGTTAGTCACTAAGTCATGTCTGACTCTTTGCAACCCCATGGACTGTAGCCCACCAGGCTCCTCTGTCCATGGAATTCTCCAGGCAAGAATACTGGAGTAGGTAACCATTCCTTTCTCCAGGGGATCCTCCCGACCCAAGGATTGAACCTGGGTCTCCTGCATTTCAGGTGGATTCTTTACTGCCTGAGCCACCAGGGAAGCCCAATGTTAATGTAAGTGAAAGTGAAAGTTTAGTCACTCAGTCGTGTCCAACTCTTTGTGACCCCGTGGACTGTAGCATGCCAGGATCCTCCATCCATGGGATTTTCCAGGCAAGAGTACTGGAGTAGGTTGCCATTTCCTTCTCCAGAGGATCTTCCTGATGCAGGGATCAAACCCAGGTCTCCCACATTGTAGGCAGATGCTTTACTGTCTAACCAGAGTTCAAATGCACGCTCTACCACCTATTGGTAGAAGCTTCAAGAAGCTCCTAAGCACTCTGAGTCTTGGCTGCCTCGTTCATAAAGGGGGCAATGTAATATCCATTTCATAGTATTTATCTACTTTGTTGAGAGTATTAACTGAGATAATTTATGTAAATTCCCAGAATAGTACTTGTCACAGAGTAATTACCTAATATTACTGGTTTCTTCCTTGGCACACCCCAAGACATGGACCATTCAAATCTAACCACCATCTGTGCCCATTTCAGGTAGTTTGTATTGACCTACCCACTGAAATAGAATGGAGAATATGCCATATAGTAGAAGATGCTGGAATATGCCAGAGTCTTTTAGGCGATAGGAACATGTGGCAAGAAAACACATACCAGGCAGAGCCCAGTGGGGCATACCCACATGAAGAATTCAAAGTTAACTGGATTAACTAGCTAGCCAAGAAAATAAAACTAGTCCACAACTGCAAGGTATGCTCTAAACCACAGGGACCCCTTTTTGTGCTCCCATCCCCACTGGTAAGCAAGTCATCAGTCTCCCAGAGAAGTATTATAGACAGAGGGCCCACAGACTTCTTCTCTAGTTGGATGAAGTTAGGCCCTTGATAAACCTGCTGGACCAAATGGCTCATGGGGTGAGCCATTTGAACATAAGCCTGCCATCTTTGTCACTGAGTCCTCATAGCCTGCAGCAGAGCAGCAAATAGAACCGGCAGCTCCAACAAGGCTACGTCTCAGTTTTTTAACCATCCACCAAGAACCAGAATGCAGTGAGGCCACCCCAGTAAGCCAGGTCCCAGAAGGACATAATAGTTCCTTCCAAAGTGAAATTTCCCAGGGAGAGATGACTACACAGACTAATATGTTGTCTTCCAACATTTCTATGTTGAAAGCCTTTAGAATTCCTGTCTCAGTTCAGCTGTTCTGTCCAGTTAAAGGGGAATATGCTGGGTCTGATCTAAGCTAAGCGAGGAAGAGTTCTGTCCTGTACTTAAGAGAATGATAAAGAAATATTTCTTAATAAAGAAACTCAATACACTCATCATTCTCATTTGGGCTATACGTCAGACTTTCTCTATTAGATGACCAGTCCCAGGGAAGATGTCTTAGTCCTCCAGCAGTGGGCACCTACACAAAAGGCTTATTCATGCTTCCTGCATTCTGCACCCATGCTTTTGTTGAAGAGCCACCTCCAGGTCAGCTCATATTTCTAATCTTAGTCATGATTGTTAATTCTGAGGTTAGGGATGACTTTAGTGAACTAAGACCCAGAAAAGAAGAGAAGTTACAAATAAGATCAAGCAATAGTGTGTTGTAACTATGAAAAACTTGAGGACCTCAGCCAACCATGTACCTTATATGCGTAATTTAGTAAAGATAAAGGGCAGACCCATGTTTCTAAATACATTTGATGGGAAAAGATTTAGTGATGATAGACAGCAAGGACTGTGGGTAGTGTTTCTGAGAGAACAAATCAGGTCCTATGGGTGAGATCAGGTGGTTCAAGGAATAAAATCCATAAACTCCTGCTGTGAAGCATGCCTTTCTAATGAAGCCAGAAAGGGTTTGGTTTAGCAGGTGCAACTCTCTAAATCCATCAGGCTTGACTGGACATCATTCTCTAACCCTACCCTCCTGATTCCTAAAGGTTTTTTTTTTTTTTTAGATTTGCCTTGTGAAAATATGCAATATATAGGGCATGTTTATAATAGATGGCAAGTGTCTAGATCCCACTTGCAAAGCCTGCAGTCGAGGATGGGAAGATGGGCAAGGTATACAGCAGTGAGTAAGGTGTCCTGGAGTCAAGTAGAAATAGAAGTTGCTTATCCCAGCTGAGGAAGAACAAGGACTCCAGTTCTAAAAAGAAGTCAAATTCATAGTTAAATGTATTACAGAAACCTTCCAGGTGAGTCAGGTGCAAGCTGGAACCACAGAGTTGATAGTCATGTGTGTGTGTGTGTGATGCTAGTGAAAAATGACATCAGATTAGTTCTCTGATATAGAAGTAAGAAAGCAGAGACCTGACCTTTGAGCTTGTGAGCCCCAAGGGTGAAAGAAAGCAAAGAAAGAAAAAAAAAGCTATCAAAGGAGGAAAACGACACAGAGCAGAATAGCCAAACTCTACATTTAAAGGGTTATTTCAGATCTAAAATGTAATTGTTTTTAGCTGTGGTAATATTTTAGACTATGTGATTTAGAACCACTAAACTCATCACCTAAATTACTTTACTTTAGGTGTTCCAAATATCTGTTGGCTGTGATGCTAGTAAATTCATTGCTGTTAAAGGGCAAGTATATTTGCACTTGATTTGTCTTACTCTTTATGTTTTAAAACAAATGTTGAATTAAATGTAATTACTAGTTATTAGCCTAATGACTGACATGTCCGTATGAAATCCATAATAAATTGACAATTTGTTCAAACCAGACTTGTTTTAACTTTTTGCCAAGTCAAATATTACATTTTAATCAGAATAAAAGAGAAAAAGATTTAACCTCTTTCTCTATTATCAGCATTTTTCTGTCTTCCCTTTTCATAAGCCAGTTTCCATCTTTTGCATTACTTCTCTCAGCTCTTCAGTGTACAACTCATTTCCAGAGAAATGAGAGGAAGAAACACTTAGCCTCTGTTGTCCATCCTATTCAAACCAGTTATAATTCCATTTCTATCAGAGAACTGCTTATAATCACATGAGAGAAGCCTATTTTCTGCACCTTTTTCCATGGATGAAAGCAAGTCACTTCATAAATAGATTCAAATATTTTCCCATGAGAAAGGTTTTTAAAGCAAACCTAACAGAACCGCCAGTGTTTCCTCCAGAGAACCCCAAGATGTGACTTTTATTGATTTTACTGTGGTTCACAGTGAAGCACACTGGAACTTGTGTCATCCACAGTTCTTTCTTCTACATGGGAGAGAATAAAGGTCAGCGTACACAAAAATTAAGCAGCTGAGGTTTTTTTTTTTTCATGTTCATGATAGCATTATTTATTTATTTATTTATTTGTTTTTCATTTATTTGTATTAGTTGGAGGCTAATTACTTTACAATATTGTAGTGGTTTTTGTCATACATTGACATGAATCAGCCATGGATTTACATATATAAAAGTCACTCAGTCATGTCCAACTCTGCGACCCCATAGACTATAGCCTACCAGGCTTCTCTGTCCATTGGATTTTCCAGGCAAGGGTACTGGAGTGGGTTTTCATTTTCTTCTCCAGGGGATCTTTCTGACCCAGGGATCAAACCCAGGTCTCCCACATTGCATGCAGACACTTTACCATCTGAACTACCAGGGAAGCCCACTCTAAGCAACAGGTTGCAAAAATCAATTCCCAGTACCCGTGCATGCAGTATCACTACATGAAGATCTCCTTCTTCAGTGAGATGCAAAGCAACTTGAATCCATCTATTTCTGGGAAGGTTTAGTGAGCTATTGTCAGACTAGGTTGCTCGTCAGAATCACCTGGAGAGCATGTCAGAAAACACAGATTTCAGGTCCTTTTCCAGATCTCGTAGTCAATGACCCACTGTTCTGGACCTCTAAATATGACCTTAATTTCTTGAATTCAGGTTGTGGTGGGCCTAAATTTTCACAGTCCACAAAGGAGAGCTCCAAGGCCCATGATCCTTCTGGCAGGAGAGGTGTTAATGAAAGAGGGCATCTTTGGGGATCAAATTTGAGTTCAGGTTGGGAGGTGGTCCCAGGCTTTCATTTTCTATATATATATATATAAAATAAACACAATGGTGACCAGGGTTCCTTCTGAGTTACACTGGAAGCAGTCAGCAAAAATGATCAAATGAATAATTTAACTTACCAAAAACTCTTATCATTTCATAGACCTTGATAGCCTTATGTCTGCATAAACCCTAACTAGAAATTATGTGAATCATTAAAATAGGTCCTTACCTGTACAGCTGAGGCTCTAGTAGCAGTTAGAACTGTGTTTTTAAAAATTATGAAAAATAAAACAGTCCAAAGAAATTTGTCTTACTTTGATAGATTTTCCACAAATTTTTCACATGTATCAAACATAAGAGGTAAATCAGTATATTTCTAATTCTGGCACCTTCAGAAACATTTGTGAAAATAGAAATGCTAAGCCCACAAACCAATCCCAGAGATTCTAATTCAATAAGTGATGCTTCTGTAATACTTTCAAGTTTAAAAGTCACTGAGTGAAACAAGTAAATGTTTGTGCTAATAAATAAGGAATGATGATATTACAACTTCATTGTATTTTATTTCTTGTAGATTTACTAAAAAGGAATGTCTTCAGCATGATTTTTTTTACATCATTGAACAGTAAGCAATATTTTCTAATGTAAGCATTGACTTGTATATTAATGTACTATCAATAATTTATGATTAGTTTGTATTTATTCCTATTAGTACCAGTCTTTTCTGATATATGCATTTATTGCTATAAATTTACCTCTAGCCACTGATTTTGCTGCGTCTCCCAAATTTTGATAAGTTGTGTTTTCATTTTCATTTAGATGAGCGTATTTTTTAAACTTCTCTTGAGAGTTCATCGTTGATCCAAGTGTTATTTAGAAGCGTTATTTAGAAACCTCCACATATTTTAGGAGTATTTTGTAATTATGGTCATCTGTTTGACTTTTTTGTGATACCTCCTTACCTAGGCAAAGTAATGGTTTAAATTTTTTAAGCTTGAGAAGAGGAAAGATTCTAAGTAACAAAAAAAAAATTTTTTTTACAGGTCATATCTGAGGGATCGACCATCTAAACCATTGGTAAGAAAACTGTAATTCTGTCAATCAGCCAAATATAGAAAATAACTAAAGCATTTTTTACTTTTCCAGAGAGTAAAATATAATTGGGACAAATACGGCTGCCCATTGAGAGTTGATTTCAGAGAAAAATTTCGCCCTTTGGTTCAACTGTAAGTATATTCTCACTAAAAATTTTAACTTACTATTGAAAGTTTCAAAATTATGAAAAGAAGCCTAATTAATCATGCATTTAATAATAAATATGTTTGAGCACCCAACGTATGCAGCACTGGGTTTTCAGTGCTAGTTATACAAAATTGGATGACCTGTGGTCCATGCATGAGGGAGGTTACAATTTAGAAGCTGAGGCATAAGTGGGTAAGAGGGTTAAAACTCTTCTCAGGGATGCAGACAGAACCTAACCCTTGCTTTATCCTCTCTAAACCTCTCCTCAACCTACAGCACCCCTCCCCATCAGGAACTCAGTTCAGTTCAATTCAGTCGCTCTAAGAGGGTTAAAACTCTTCTCAGGGATGCAGACAGAACCTAACCCTTGCTTTATCCTCTCTAAACCTCTCCTCAACCTACAGCACCCCTCCCCATCAGGAACTCAGTTCAGTTCAATTCAGTCGCTCTAAGAGGGTTAAAACTCTTCTCAGGGATGCAGACAGAACCTAATCCTTGCTTTATCCTCTCTAAACCTCTCCTCAACCTACAGCACCCCTCCCCATCAGGAACTCAGTTCAGTTCAATTCAGTCGCTCTAAGAGGGTTAAAACTCTTCTCAGGGATGCAGACAGAACCTAATCCTTGCTTTATCCTCTCTAAACCTCTCCTCAACCTACAGCACCCCTCCCCATCAGGAACTCAGTTCAGTTCAATTCAGTCGCTCTAAGAGGGTTAAAACTCTTCTCAGGGATGCAGACAGAACCTAATCCTTGCTTTATCCTCTCTAAACCTCTCCTCAACCTACAGCACCCCTCCCCATCAGGAACTCAGTTCAGTTCAATTCAGTCGCTCTAAGAGGGTTAAAACTCTTCTCAGGGATGCAGACAGAACCTAATCCTTGCTTTATCCTCTCTAAACCTCTCCTCAACCTACAGCACCCCTCCCCATCAGGAACTCAGTTCAGTTCAATTCAGTCGCTCTAAGAGGGTTAAAACTCTTCTCAGGGATGCAGACAGAACCTAATCCTTGCTTTATCCTCTCTAAACCTCTCCTCAACCTACAGCACCCCTCCCCATCAGGAACTCAGTTCAGTTCAATTCAGTCGCTCTAAGAGGGTTAAAACTCTTCTCAGGGATGCAGACAGAACCTAATCCTTGCTTTATCCTCTCTAAACCTCTCCTCAACCTACAGCACCCCTCCCCATCAGGAACTCAGTTCAGTTCAATTCAGTCGCTCTAAGAGGGTTAAAACTCTTCTCAGGGATGCAGACAGAACCTAATCCTTGCTTTATCCTCTCTAAACCTCTCCTCAACCTACAGCACCCCTCCCCATCAGGAACTCAGTTCAGTTCAATTCAGTCGCTCTAAGAGGGTTAAAACTCTTCTCAGGGATGCAGACAGAACCTAATCCTTGCTTTATCCTCTCTAAACCTCTCCTCAACCTACAGCACCCCTCCCCATCAGGAACTCAGTTCAGNAGATGCCATGATCTTAGTTTGCTGAATGTTGAGTTTTAAGCCAACTTTTTCACTCTCCTCTTTCACTTTCATCAAGAGGCTCTTTAGTTATTCTTTCCTTTCTGCCATAACAGTGGCGTCATCTGCATATCTGAAGTTATTGATATTTCTCTCAGCAATCTTGATTCCAGCTTGTGCTTCATCCAGCCCAGAGTTTCTCATGATGTACTCTGCATATAAGTTGAATAAGTAGGGTAACAATATATAGCCTTGACGTTCTCCTTTTCCTATTTGGAAGAAGTCTCAAATCATCTCAAATCATCATTATTAAACACCTGTTGTTGTTCCACCACTTAGTCATGTCTGATTCTTTGTGATCCCATGGACATATGCCATGGAAGCATGCCCCATGGAAACACGCCAGGTTTCCCTGTCCCTCACCATCTCCCAGAGTTTGCCAAAGTTCATGTCCAAAGTTCATGTTTAATCGGTGATTAAACATCTAATTTACACCAATTACTGTACTAGGCACCGGGAACTCAAAGATGGGTAAGACAGGATTTCTGCTCTCAAGAATCTGATAAATTAGATATGAACTGATATGCTAAAAGGAACAATAGAAAGGATTAATATGGATCGTTGGTCCTGAAAAGAAAAGAATCCAGTTCAGCTACGGAAGGGAGAGGGGCTCTAGGAAGTGTTCCCAGGACATTAGAGCTGAGTCACTGAGGCTTAAAGGATAATATTTAGCTGAAGGCAGGGGAGGAAAGGAGAAGTGGGGAAGGTAACAGGGAATTCCACTGAGTAAGCCTTTCAAACAGAAGTGATAGAGGAAGAAATTTCATAGTTCATGTGGTATAATGTTACTGGAGCACAAATTGAGTCCTGATGTGTCAGGAGAAAAGGCTGAGAAACTAGCTAGGTAGAGTCCAGACCATGGAAGGCTTTCTAGCCATTCTTTTATTTTTCCCCCCATAAAACTTATTTAACCAAAGGAAAATTGCTTCACCATATGTATTTACCTTTGCCGTCGGTGTATATGTGTGTCCCCTCCCTCTTTAACTTCCCTCCTTAACTTCCCCTTCTCACACCTCTAGGTGGTTACAGAGCCCCAGTTTGAGTTCCTGAGTCATACTGCAAATTCTCATTGGTTATCTGTTTTACACATGGCATCATATATGCTTCCATGTTACTCTCTCATTCGTCCCACCCTCTCCTCCCTCCCTGTTGCCCATGTCCATAAATGTCTGTTCTCTATGTCTGCATCTCCATTGTTGCCCTGTAAATAGGTTCATCGGTACCATCTTTCTAGATTCCCTATACATGTGTTAATAAATGATATTTGTTTTTCTCTTTCTGACTTAGTTCACTCTGTATAATAAGCTCTAGGTTCATCCATTTCATTAGAACTAACTCAAATGCATTCCCTTTTATGGTTTCTAGCCATTCTTATTGTAGAGTGTCATGATTAAATATTTGCTGTCTCTGAGAGATGTGTAGAAGATTTCGGGGAAACAAGTCTAAGGAAGGAGACCAGGTAGTAAACTGTATTAGTAATACAGGGAGAAAAAAAAAAATGATTGAGACCGCAAAAAAGACAAAGAAGAAGGATCACTTATGAGAAAATCAGTGATGATTACAGGCAGGGCTTGATAGCTGATAGATGAGAGTGATGAGGGAAAGAGAATAAGGAAGGTGAATAAGTCAAAGCTGGTATCAGTAAGAAGAGATCTTCCACAAACTTCTATGGCTATTATCTATGCGTCTTCAAGCATCTGTACCCATTAACTCTGTCTTCCTATCACCATAGATAAAGTATATGTGTATCTAAGGCCTCCATTTGTGAACTGGATCCCTGCCCCCTTTCCTAATTAAGATCACTGTTTCTGAAATTTTCCCTTTTCTCTTGAATCATCAACTTTACCCTACTAGATCATCACACAAATATGCAGTTCTTCCCCTCACTGAAACCAAAACCAAAACAAAAACCCTCTTTGTCTCCACTACTCCTCTAGCTACTATGCTCGTTGTCATCGACTCTCGTCCTATCCTCTCCCAAATCTCTCTCAGTCCGGCTCTTACTCCCACCCCTCCACTGACATTGCCAGCCAGCGTGGCCAGCGGCCTCCGTGTTGCTAACTCAATGGTCAGTTCTCAGGTCTCATCTTACTCAATCTCGTTAACAAGAACTAACACAGTTGATCATTTCCTCCTACTTAAAATATCTTCCTTATTGGGATTCCAGGATGTCATGTTTTCCTACTTTTCCTGTTACCTCACCGGTAGCTCTTCCTTAATTTCTTAGTTTATTATTTTCTCCATGACTTTTTTTTTTAACTTTTTACTTTGTATTGGGGTATAGCCAATTAACAAACAATGATAGTTTGATAACAAACTTGATAGTTTCAGGTGAAGAGCAAAGGGACTCAGCCATACATATACATGTATCCATTCTCCCCCAAATTCCCCTCCCATTCAGGCTGTCACATAACATTAAGCAGAGTTCCATGTGCTATACAGTAGGTCCTTGTTGGTTATCCATTTTAAAATATAGCAGTGTATACATGTCCGTCTCAAACTCCCTAACTATCCCTTTCCCTTATCTTTTTACCCAGTAACCATAAGTTCATTCTCTAAGCCTGTGAATCTCTTTGTTTTGTAAGTTCGTTTGTATCATTTCTTTTTAGATTCCTATATAAGGGATGTCATACAGTATTTCTCCTTCTCTGTCTGACTTACTTCACCCAGTATGACAATCTCTAGGTCCATTCATGTTGCTTCAAATGGCATTATTTCACTCTTTTTAATGGCTGAGTAATATCTCATTGCATATATGTACCGCACCTTTTTTATCTAATACTCTATCAAAGGACGTTTAGGTTGCTTCCATGCCCTGGCTATTGCAAACAGTGCTGCAATGAATATTGGGTTGCAGGTGTCCTTTCAGAACATTATTTTCTCCAGATATATGCTCAGGAGTGGGATTGCAGGGTCATATGGTAGCTCTATTTTTTGGTTTTTAGGGATTCTCCAAACTGTTCTCCATAGTGACTGTACCAATTTACATTCCCACCAACAGTGTAGGAAGGTTCCCTTCTCTCTACACTCTCCAGCATTTATTGTTTGTAGATATTTTGAGGATTACCATTCTGAACTGTGTGAGGGAAATACTTAATTGTAGTTTTTATTTGTATTTCTCTAATAATTAGCAATGTTGAGCATCTTTTCATGTACCTCTTGTCCATTTGCATGTCTGTCTTCTTTGGAGAAATGTCTTTAGATCTTCCATTTTTTAATTGCTTTTTTTTTTTAATATTGAGCTGCATGGACTGTGTATATTTTGAATAATCCCTCTTTGGTCACTTCATTTGCAAATTTCATTTTCTTCCTTTCTGTGGATTATCTTTTCATTTTGTCTGTGGTTTCTTTTGCTGTGCAAAAGCTTTTAAGTTTAATTAGGCCCCATTTGTTTATTTTTATTTCCATTACTCTAGGAAGTGAACCAAAAAAAGAGATCTTTGCTGTGATGTATGTCAGAGAATATTCTCCTTATTTTTTCCTTTAACAGTGTTATACTATCTGGTCTTATATTTAGGTCTATAGTATATCTTGAGTTTATTTTTATGTAGGGTGTTAGAGAATGTTCTGATTTCATTATTTTACTTGTAGCTGTCTAGTTTTCTCAGCACTACTTATTGAAGAGATGGTCTCTTCTCTCTTGTATACTACTGCCTTTGTCATAGATTAATTAACCATAGGGTGAAATAGTTTATTTCTGGGTTTCTATCCTGTTTCACTGATCTATATTTCTGTTTTTGTGTCAGTATCATACTGTCTTGATTACTGTAGCTTTGTAGTATAGTCTGAAGTCAGGGAGTTCAATTCCTCCAGCTGTGTTCTTTCTCAAGATTGCTTTGGCTGTTCAGGAGCTTTTGTATTTCCATATAAATTGTAAAAATTTTTGTTCTGATTCTGTAAAAAATGCTATCAGTAACTTGATAGATATTATATTGAATCTGCAGATTGCCTTGGGTAGTATAGTCATTTTGACAACATTGATTATGCCAATATTGAACATGATATTGCTCTCCATCTGTTTGTGTCATCTTTGATTTCTTTCACCAGTATCTTATAGTTTTTAGAGGTCTTTTGCCTCCTTAGGTGGGTTTATTCCTAGGTACTTTATTCTTTTTGATGCAATGGCAGTTTTTAAAAATCTGCACTAAATGACATCATAAACAAAATAAAAAAGACAAGTGGTTGAAATGTTTGTTTTTTATGTCTTTAAATACAGATTTTTAAGAATTGTGGTAAAATATGGCAAGCATTTGGATGAATACCTTATGCAGTTAGACAACAGAATGCCAAATAACAGTTAAAATGAATGAGCTATGATGCTTGTAAGAGGGAATCAAATGATCAGCCATGAATTCCAGATTGGGTAGGGAAGGAAGGGAGATCAGGAGGGACCCAATGATGAGGAAAACAGATCAAGAGACTGGAAATTTCTGTGGATTTATCTCAAAACCTAATATCGAGTGGAAAAAAAAGTCACCAAAAGATACTTACAGTATAATATCATGTATGTACATTTTCAAACCCATAAATCAATAATATACATGATTTATGGACACATTTATATATAATTAAAGAATACAACCTGGATGGAAATGATAAGTAATAATTTTCACATTATTCTCCGTATATTTGAAATACCTAATTAAAATAAAATAAGCACCTGAGCAAGGTCCATGAAGAAAGCTGGGGAAACAGGATCAAAGGCTCAGGTGGCAAAGTTCAAAGGGTAATTGATTCTTCGAGACTGTGGGTGCACGTGTGCTCAATTGCTCAGTCATGTCCAACCCTTTGCGACCCTATACTGTAGCCCACCAGCTTCCTCTGTCCATGGAATTTTCCAGGCAAGAATGCTGGAGCAAGTTGCGTTTCCTCCTCCAGGGGATCTTTCCAACCCAGGGATTGAAACTGAGTCTTGCGTCTCCTGCATTGGCAGGCACAGTCTTCACTGCTGTGCCATCTGGCAAGCCCGTGAGGCTCGGAGGAAGAAGTAAAAATGACTGGTTTGGAGACAGGAATGTAGAAGTTGAGAGAGGTCATGTCTGATGGCCCCAATTTACTTATATGCAGTAGAAAGGAGGGTCATCTGTAAACTCAGAGAAGGAAGGGGTTGAGGAGGGGACTTCAGGAGAGTGTCAAAGGTCACTGAGGTAAAATGAAAAGGTGCTGGCTAAGGGCCTGTAAAAAGATTACTGGACAACAGCAAAGGTACAACTGAGCTAAGATACCATGAGTGGGTCCAATCTTCACACACGCTGAACTTCCTAAGTGCCACATACACAGCTGAAGAAGGCATAGGTAGCATCCAAGGTTTAGGTTAGACATTAGATGCAAGGGGAAGAATAACTGAGTGTATCCAGGGTGCTGGTGGGAGACAGCGGGTCAGATAATCAACCATGAGACTGGGCTGAGTGGGAGAGGAAGAGCAGCTAGAAAGGAACTTTTATGCAGCAGAGAAGCAGAGGGGAATAAGGGGAATGGAGGTCACGGGGCAGGTGAGAGGCTGTGAAAGATGGAAGAGGTTGGGGTCAGAAAGTGGCCTTTTAGAGCAGCACTACTTTGGACTACTGCGGCAGTACTTTTGTATCTCTGCAACAAGGAATCACTTGATAAAACTTGTTGACTCCAATTCTCCTAAGATAATCAACCAAATAGTTGAGGTTAAGTACAGTGGGATGGGCTTCCCAGGTGACTCAGTGGTAAAGAATCCATCTGCCAATTCAGGATACCTGAGTCTGATCCCTGGGTGGGCAAGATCCCCTGGAGAAGGAAATAGAAACCCACTCCAGTATTCTTGACTGGGAAATCCCATGGACAGAGCAGCCCAGCAGGCTACAGTCCATGGGGCAGCAAAAGTCAGACACAATTTAGTGACTAAACAGCTACAGAGGGACGGTCAGATCAATAAGCCTCAGTGTCCAGTTCAGCTGGATTATAGCAATACATAGTTAATAACCCAGTATTCAAGTAGGTATTTACCAGAAGCAAATTTGGGTGCTAATTAAGCCTTGAGATAGGGGTGGTCACTAGGAAATTAGCATGTAGTCTAGATCTCTAGATTATAATAAATGCCTTACCTTTGTAGAAAACGGTTTAGGAACAGTGTTGGGCAGAATTTTACAGATAATATAACAGATTCACTATCAAATATTAACAAGAATAAAGCAAGTCTTAGAAGTATGATTCAGCTGGGAATATGTCATCCCAGCTGCCACTTTGCTATCAATTCCCATGACAACCCATCCCAAACTAGAATTTGGTGCTACAGAAGCAACCCAGAGGGAACAGAGGGACATAACTGCTCTACTATGATGCAGGAAGTTCAACAGCAGATATTAGGGAGTTTTAGGGCTACTCAAGATTTATTTAATCAGATACGGTAAGACACACAGACATGGAAATGACTGTCATGAAGGAAGAAGTTTATTATAAATAACAATCCCAAGAAACAGGAGGCACAGCACATCATGTAGGGCCTCATGGGGAAGCACCAGGACCTGTCAGGAGAGAAGGAGCGAGGGGAAAACAGAGGTAAGAACCTCAACTGTGTTTTCTGTAGGAAGGAATGGAGAGACAGGGCAAGCAGGTTAGAATTGGCTATTTTGAGTAATTTCAGTGGGCTCTGAGCACAAGTGCTGTCTAGTTGTCTAGTACCTCGTCTTGGGGTGATTAAAGGAGGTGAATGGGGAGTGGGCCAGTGTGACAACTCATAAAGGAGGTGGGTTCTGGCTGGGCTACAGACTATGGGGCTGCCAGAGTTGGACAGCTATGGAAGGACAGTCACATCTGAGATCAGTTAGCCTCAGTGTCCAGGGTTCTGGATTGGTTGGTTTGTGTATGAAAGGCATTCCTGGTTTACCATCTCTAGGAATTAACCCTGGGAAGGGCAGTCCCTCCAAGTTCAGCAAGTCCCCAGATACTAAGCACCACTTTACAGAAAGTAAAAGACATGATTAATATAATGAGCTATCTGGAGCGACCACACAGGATTGTAAACATATGTCTAATGGATCAATAGAGAGCTCTCTCCTTCCCAATTCCAAAAGTGGAACTGCCATAGTGGAGAAATTACAAATTGTAGGGAAGAGTTACAAAATGTAGTAACATTCATGAGTCTCTAAGGTTTAATTAGTATTATATATCACATTAACAAACTTTAATAAAAATAAGCCATGCTCACATGGGCAAGTATTTTTGCCTGGTATTCTCAATGAAATGAATAGAACATTGAAGAGCATTATAAACCCAGAAAGCATGGGTTATGCAATTCATTGTTATTGCCACTAGATGACACTGTAGCTTCTTGCTTTTCATGAGTGTCAAGTGATGCCTGCTCAAGAGTTAAGATCTTTTTTATTTAAATAAATCATGTGTTTTTTTTTTTGGTAGAAATGTAAGCATTTTTAATTATAAAAAGGCAAACATTAAAAAAGATAATATTCATGATTAAAATTGAATATCAAAGGAATGGTGGGGGTGGAGGAACAGGAAATATGATTTTATGATTTATTGTTCCTGGGCTTCCCTGATAGCTCAGTAGATAAAGAATCCACCTGCAATGCAGGAGACCCCGATTTAATTCCTGGGTTGGGAATATCCACTGGAGAAGGGATTGACTACCCACTCCAGTATTCTTGGGCTTCCCTTGTAACTCAATTTGTAAAGAATCTGCCTGCAATGTGGGAGACCTGGGTTCAATCTCTGGGTTGGTAAGATCCTCTGGCGAAGGGAAAGGCTACCCACTCCAGTATTCTGGCCTGCAGACTTGCAAAGAGTCAGATATGACTGAGCAACTTTCACTTTCACTCACCTCATCAATATATGGTTGCAACTGTTTTAAAAAGTAAAAAATTTCTGCTTCAATACTATTAGTTTTATTTTGAGAACTGAAGGAAGCCTACACAGTAGGTACTTTATAGATAAGAAAATTGAGGCTTCAAGAGTTTAAGTAATTTCTGCAGGGTTCACAAAGCCTAGTGATAAAGACAGGATTTAACCCTAAGTACATCTATCTTAAATTCTGGAGCTCTTAACTCTTCTACACTGAATTGTTATTTTGTGTTTCAGATACAATGACAATGGTTATGTTGAAGATGTTGAAGTAAATTTCATAGTATGGGAAATACATGGCAGGGATGACTATAGCTTTAATAATACTATGAAGAAGGTATGACATTTTTGGATTTAAATAGAATTTAGCATACAATTAGACAAGTCTTTCTATTTTAAATCGATGTATAAGTTATCTAAGGAAAATAGAACCAGTCAGCTGTAGGCAGGGGAAAAAAAATACTACCTCTCTGTTAAATTCTATGACTACTATAATTCATTTATGAAAAAAGAAATCACTGTCACATAGAACAAAAGGGGTCAGAAAGGGTAATGTTTATAGTAGGATGATGCAATTATTACTATTTTATTTTCTCTCCACATTGTATTTAATGTTTGATTACTTATGGGTCTGTCTTTGGCTTTCGGCCAATCATCATATTCATGCTAAATCAAATGAATACCACTGTAGGCTTCATCTCGCTTGATTTTTTTGCAGCATTTGACCCATTGACCTTGGCTTCACTGTCCCCACACTCTCCTCTCCTGGCTTTCCTTCATCCTCAGTGACTGGTCAGTCTCAGCCTCCACAGTCAATCCCTGTTATTCTGCCTGTTCACGTTGCAGGCCATGGCAGAAAGGCCTTACTACTAAGACCAACACAGATTCTCCCTGATCTGGGAGAATCCCATATACCACAGAGCAACTAAGTCTGTGAGCCACAACTATTGAGCCTGTGCTCTAGAGCCCAGGAGTCGCAACTACTGAGGCCACATGCCGCAACCACCGAAGCCCATGCGCCCTAGAGGCCATGCTCTGCAACAAGAGAAGCCACTGCAAAGAGAATTCTGGGCACTGCAACTAGCGAGGAGCCCCACTTGCCACAACTAGAGAAAAAACCATGCAGCAACAAAGACCCAGCATGGCCAAAAAAAATTTTAATAAAATTTATAAAAAATTTATCATCCATATATAACATTACTTTAAACATAAATCTTATAAAATTATAAATAAATGGTACTTCTTTAACCTAATAAAATGTGGATACAAAAAACCCTGTATAAAACATCATGCTGCTGTGCTGAGTTGCTCAGTCGTGTCCGACTCTTTGCAACCCCATGGACTGTAGCCCACCAGGTTCCTCCATCCCTGCGGACTCTCCAAGCAAGAGTATTTGAATGGGTTGCCATGCCCTCCTCCAGGGGATCTTCCCAACCCAGGGGTTGAACCCAGGTCTCCTGCATTGCAGGTGGATTCTTTACCATCTGAGCCACCAGGGAAGGCCAAGAATACGAGAGTGGGGAGCCTATCCCTTCTCCAGGGGAACTTCCTGACCCAGGAATCGAACCGGGGTCTCCTGCATTGCAGGCAGGTTCTTGACCAGCTGAGCTACCTGGGAAGCCCATAAAACATCATACTTAATGGTAAAAATGTGAAAGCCTTCCCTCTGAAATCAGGAATGAAACAAGGAGGCCTGTTCTAACCATTTCTATACAACATTGTTCCAGATGTTTCTCATAAGGTAAAAAATGAGCAATAAAAATAAAAGAATAAAGGTTGGAAAGGAAGAAATAAAACTGTCATATTTACAGATAACATGATTGTTCATCTGAAACAATTAAAATTAATAACTGAGTTTAAGAAGTTGTCTCTGTACAAAATCATTATACAAAAGTCCATTGTTTTTCTATATATCAGCAAACACTTAAATAATTAAAATTAGATGTATAATTTCCAATGGCACTAATTAAATACTTAGATATAAATTGACATGCAAAACATATATATATATATACATATATATATATAATCTTTCTGTATATATAAAATCTTTTGACAGAGCGGTTGTTTGAATGAAGCTCAGACATGGAATTCAATGATTGAGCTTAACAAGCACCTCCCGTTAGAAGAAGTCTGGGGACCTGAGGTAAGAAAAACGTTACCTTGTAAATTATTTATTTATAACTAACTTGGCATTTTAGTATTAATAAGTGCTTAAAGGAAATAGTTTGGGTTTAAGTTTGATTTTGTAAATCAAATCCAGTTTTTCTGTTCTATTCTAAAATGTTTCTTCTTAATTCTGTTTGATTTTCTGCTGCTCTGCATTACTAACAATTTTGTTTTAATTTTCTCTTCTGAAAATCTATCTGCAGATTATTAAATATCTGAAACACATGTTAAAGCACTGAGACTGAATCTTTCTAAAGAATGCCTGACATTTCAATTTTTATACAACTAAAAGATCTTTTCTGAATGCCAATTATCAATACTATACTGCTTTCAATTTTTTTCAATTGAATTTTCTTAAATTGCAATGATTTTATTTGGCAAATCAAATCATATCTCATGAATAACATGTGACATATAAGGTACCTCAGCCTTTAAAATGTAAACCCTATAATAGGAATATTATTTTTGCTTCTCCAGCAGAATCTATACATGTCCAGACAGAGATGAACAATGTGTATTTTCCTCTATATTCCCAACTCCAAACCATCCATTTTCCACCCATTACTCCCTGTCTTCCCAGTAACATGAATCTAGGAGCTTTACTCCAACAATCCTTTGAACAGTTCTTCCGACTTAACATAACCTTCAACTCACTGGTCCTACCACCCTCACCGCACCCCCAGTTCTCTTTTCCCTTTTTATTTTAAATTCCACAATCAATAATCATATCACTCTATTAATATACACCCTCAATTCCTTTGCTCCTCTCGCACTTCTTTGTATTTCTATAGCTAATCTCATCCCTGGTTAAATTCAGCTATCCACCTTAGCTGTGGTCAGAGAAAAACAAACCCTTGCTGACTTGTTTCACTTTCATTTAATGATTAAAATGGTCCCATAATACCCAGCAAATGTTACTGTATTTCTTCAACTTGTTCCTTCTTCCCCTTTCACAAATAGTTATTGCAGGCTTTCTCCTCTCTCTTTAAATCTCCAGCAACTCTTTCCCCATCCGCATTCTTACATAATGAACTTGCTTCCTACTTCACCAAGAAAATTATGGTAGTTATTAAATCTGGTACAAGACCGTTCTATCTAATTTTATATAGAGAAGCACATATCTTAAAACATGAAATATGTTGCCCTATTGTTTTTAATATTTTTGTTTGTTTTTAATATTTTGACAGCTACAATTCCATATAACTAGTTTCCCTTGTAATGCAACCTGTCTTACATTATGCTTTTAAAAACATTATTGTGAGAGGGGCCCATAGTAGTTCATAGGCTTCACCAGATTGCCAAAGGGGCCCATACAAAAATAAAATAAGATACTTTTATTTACTTGGACTTCCCTGGTGGCTCAGACGATAAAGCGTCTGCCTACAGTGCGGGAAACCTGGGTTCAATCCCTGATTTGGGAAGATCTGGAGAAGGAAATGGCAACCCATTCCAGTATTCTTGCCTGGAGAATCGGAGAAGCCTGGTAGGCTACAATCCATGGGGTCTCAAAGAATCAGACACAACTGAGCGACTTCACCTTCACTTTCACAACTTTATTCATATTTTAAAATCTATATTTATATATTTATACACACTCACTGTGAGGTTAGGAACCCCTGATATAGATAAAAAAAGAAAAGGACTAAATCTTGGGTCATCTCAATACTTAGAGATGGAGTGCATGAGGAGTGGTAAAGGAAGTAAAGGGCTTCCCAGCTGGCGCTCGTGGCACAGAACCCACCCGCCAGTGCGGGAGACATAAGGAACGTGGGGTCCGTCTTTGGGTTGGGAAGATCCCCTGGAGGGGGCATGGCAACCCACTCCAGTCTTCTTGCCTGGAGAATCCCATGGACAGGGGAGCCTGGTGGGCTACAGTGCATGGGGTTGCACAGAGTCAGACACCTCAGAAGCGACTTAGCACACACGCACGAAAAGGAGGTAAGAAAGGAATAACTTATAAGAAGCAAGAGAAAATCCAGGCAAATATGATGTTCTGGACTTCCTATTAATCAAGTCTCCTCAGAAGGAGGGAGGGATCAATTGTGCTAAATCCACTGCTAAAATAGGTCAACTATGATGAGGACTGAAAAAAATGATTATTTACTTCATAACATAGAGATAACCTTGACATAGAGTAACATAGAGATAACCTTGACAGGATGAGTTTTGGTAGGATAGTGAGAGACTAAACCTTACTGAAGCGGGTTTAATTAGCAAGGAGAAAAAGAGTTCAAAGCAGCAGGAACAGACATCTCTGCAAAGGAGTTTTGTATTCAAGAAGAGAAATAGCTGGAGAGCAATGGGTAAAGAACAAATCTTCTTCTTTTAACAGTTGAGAGACATAACCACATGTTGACTGATGGGAATATTCCAGCAAAAGAGAAAACTGATAACGCTTCAGATTTAACATGTCAGAAACTGAGCTTCTGATATCCACCCTTCACACGCACTCCTCCAATATTCTTCCCTACCTCAGTTAATAGAAATTCCATCCTCCCAGTTTGGTCAGTATAAAAGCCTCTGCATGTCATCTTATGGTCCACATTTGGTCCTTCAGGAAATCTTATTGGCTCTTTCTTCAAAATGTATTCAGATTTGGTCACCACCCTATTTCAAGCCACCATCACCAACCATCTGGGATATAATCACAGCGCCCTAACTGGTCTCTCTGCTTCAGCCTTGCCCATCATGAATCTATTCACAACATGGCACCAAGCATGATGCTACTAAAACATAAATCAGAACACACCACTCTTCTGCTCAAAAGCCAAGCAATAGTTCTCATATCACTTAGAGTTATGACAAAGCCAACAGAACTTGCTGTATCGCATCCCCTCCCGACCCCCATCATGACTAGCTAATACCTTTCTTCAGGTCTTTACTTAAAAATCAAGTAGTCAATGAAGATTTCCCTGGCCACTCCACTGAAAAATTTAAACATCACCCCATGACAGTTCCTATCTCCCTCCCCTATTTTCTTAAAATGTCATTAGCATTTATAACTCCCTGATACATTACATAGTCTACTTATTTATCTTATATATTATCTGACTCCCCAACTAAGATGTAGGCTCCATAAGGAAAGGGAATTTTGTTTGTTGTTTTCAGTGGCATCTGACCCATTACAGGTGTTCAGTAAATATTTGCGAAGCCAATTAATTAATTATAGGTCACCTACCTATTATAAGGAGTATTATTCAGCTATTTAAAAATCATAAGGAATTAAACTAGTAATGGAATCAGTTAAAAACAAAACTTACCCTTCTAACTTCTTACTGAAGGATATCCAAGAATCTGGGGTTGAGGATAGATGTAGGTTTCACTCTGACTCAAAATCTCACAAAGGGCACCCAAATGTTATGAGATATGATAAAATAACATGGTCCTAGGAAGCAATGAGCTACCTGATAACTAGCATTCAAGGAGCTCACCTCACTCAGTATGATACAGTACCATTATTGTTTAGTTGCTAAGTCGTGTCTGACTCTTTTGCAATCCCATGGACTGTAGCCCACCAGGTTCCTCTGTCCATGGGACTTCCCAGTGGGTTGCCATTTCCTTCTCCAAGGGATCTTCCCAACCCAGGGACTGAACTGGTGTTTCCTGCATTAGCAAGCAGATTCTTTACCACTGAGCCACCAGCGAAGCCCCAGTACAGTGCAGTACTTCGCAAATTTTAGAATTATGTCAAGGTGACATCAGAATCACCTAGAGGACTTGCTAAAACAGATCTCCAGGTCCTACCTCCAAAGTTTCTGATTCATCAGATCTGGGGCTAAGCCCCCCAAGTTGTATTTATAACAAACTCCCAAGTGATGCTGATCTGGGGACCACATTCTAGAAACATTGAAATAGTGGCTTACATTCTATAAAGAATTCTGAAGTGCCCACACCAGGCCTTAAGTGTTCAATTCTACCATATGAGAAACAAAAATCTCACCACTGAAAGGATAGGTTCAGTCTGGAGTTTGAACATAAGAGAAGGCAGGTACCTGCAAAGATTAGTTATGTCCTAGTGAGTAAGGCTATGCTTACTAAACAGTGTCACTGTGTATTTATTCAGCATGGCAATCAGAGGTACTGTCTTCCTGAAACATATACCCGAAATGAAATAGCCTTCCGGTTCTTAGAGCTGCACTAGTTCCTTCGTAGTCCTGATTCTATAAGGATGAGTGACATTTGTATTAAAACCTGGGAAGTAGCTTACAGACTGTAATTTCTCAAGAGAAAATTTGAAGGACTCACAAACAAAGGTTGCATTTTCACAGGTTCTTCCAAGTTAACGTTAGAGTTTGAGAAGGAAAGGGAGAATGTGGATTATGAATGGCTAGCTACATACTTAATAACTCAGGATGTGAGCTGAGTTTCTGGACATGACTCTGTAGTAATCCAAGACGTCCTTGGCTAAAAATGAATAGTAATTCATGAGGCCAGGGACTATATGAACTGTTACTGATTATCATCAAAACCAAGTAAAGTTAAGAAAGTACACAATATCTGCATATTGAAAATTGTCAAAATGTAGGAAGAATGTGAAGAAAAGCCCTAGAAATAATTACCACTTGAGTAAATCAAATGGTAGTTACTCACTCAAAAGCTATAGAAAGAATTCAGCCACAGTGAGAATGCATGACAAAGAGATGAGCAACACTTTAAGTAGGGTGTAAAAGCATACAGGATCTACAAGTATCCAGAAGAAATGCCATGTATTATTTTAGGATTTTATTTTCTAAACATAACTTTAATAAAGTGACTTAAAAAAATATATAGTGTCTACGCTTTTAAAAAGGGGAACAAGAGATAAACAAATATCCTTTCCAGTTTGTATCTTGAGACCCACAGAGAGACAGTAGTGGTAAATGGGAATAAATAAAATGCCCAGGGGAAGATTTTGAGAGAGCTGATTCTTAGGTAGGTCAATAAGTAGTGCAGGGCCCTCAAGGAAGAAGTCCGGGGCTCTCCAGGAGGAGAAAGGGACAAACCTTTTTTCCCTACATTCCGTAGTCTTAGTCACTTATTTTTTTAAGCCCAGAGCTAATAATAACACAGCAAAACTCATCTTGCTCAAGGGTATGTTTTTCCTTAAGCTTTGTACTAAAGATTATATAATAACAATGTATCCTGTTTGAGGACATATTTCTTCTTCTTAACAAGAACCTTCTGACTAATCTTGTTATAAATTAATATGTATGTTGTGGGAGTCAGTCTGGTAAGACCTTTCTGTTGTTAGTTCTAATCTTGTTAATTTAAGATGTATTGTTATGGGAGTGGGTCTGGTAAAAGTATATAAGGCCTTCATAAGACTAGCTAGTGGGGCACTTTCTGTCCCCCTTCCAATGTTTATGTCAGAAGCTTTCTCTGTCCCTTTTTTTACTTAAATAAAACTCTGCTACACAAAAGCTCTTGAGTGATCAAGCCTGGTCCCTGGTCCCAAAGCTAAATCTTTGGAGATCACGAATCTGACATCATTCATGAAAAGCTATCAATTTAACTACTGTTGTATCCATACCTTATAATCAAAATTGTATCTGTCCCTAAATTAAGTATCCATGAAGGATTTTGTACTTTTTAGATTTAGGGAAATAAAATACTTACAGGTTCTTAACAACCTAATTTATTATTGTTTGCAAATAAAGTATTTGCTTTCACTAGGCTTCACTTTTAATCAGACTTTAACCCAAGATAGCCTCTAAAAATACTATTAATATACAACACTAAAATGATAAAAGAGATGGGAATAATTATTATATCTTTAAATAATTTTCCAAAATAAACATATGGGAATATAATTTTGTTTATAAAATTCAGATAATGACCTTAAGGTTTTTGTTTTCTATTCAGAACTATAAGCACTGTTTTTCTTATGCTATTGGAAAACCAGGAGATTTAAGTCAACCATATGAGATTATCAACAAGTCTAACTATAACCATTTGGTTTGGCCCTTGGACCATTCTGGAATGTATGTGTTTCGTGTGAAGATCCTGGATCCAAACTATAGGTGACTATAAACGTTCCATTATTATAGTTTTAGCATTAGTTTCTAAAAATTACATTTTTATTTTCTTGATTTAATTTTATATCACCCAGCTATCCAATTACAGGCATACCTCATTTTATTATGCTTTGCTTAATTGTGCTTCAAAGATACTGCATTGAAGGTTTGTAGCAACCCTTGGTCAGTGAGGTTTATCAGTGCCATTTGTCCAACAGCATTTGCTCACTTCATGTCTCTGAGTCACATTTTAGTAATTCCTGCAATATTTCAAACCCCCCACCAGCAAAAAGACTATGACTTATTGAAGGCTCTGACGATGGTTAGCATTTTTGAGAAATAAAGTATTTTTTATTTAAGACAAGTACATTCTTTTTCTAGACATAATGCTATTGCACACTTAATAGACTATGGTATAGTGTAAACATAACTTTTATATGCACTGGGAAACCAAAAAATTGGTGTGACTTGCTTTATTGCAGTGTTCACTTTATTGTGGTGATTTGAAACTGAACCCACAATATCACTTAAGTATTCGTGTCATATTTGCTTTTTCATTTTGGAGCAATCATGTTAAACATTCTGTGGCAGTAAGAGATAGGATTTCATGTTCAACATAATCTATGCACAGTTAACATGCTGAGTACTATGTTTCATTGCTATGATAGATGCAAAATAGAGCATAAGGATAATCTCAGCCTTCAAGATGCTTGTAATTAAACTGGTTGGGGAAGGAAGAGCGGAGGGTACACCTAAGACCAAAGGAGGTTAAATCAGAGCAAACACATATCTTTCAAATATAATCATTTGTATTATTGATAAGCACAATAATAATTCAGAGATGGGAAAAATCAATATTGAGCATCAGGAGAAAATTTCCCAGAGGACAGGGAATATTAAGAATTTATATTGTCAGAGAACTAAGACAGACCCTTCAAATGAAAGAAATCACACTAATAATGGAATTGAGCTGGACATTAACATGGTGGAAAATTTGGGGTTGGCCAAAATGTTCGTTCATTTGGCCAACCCAATACCTTGCATGAGGAAGGTAAAAAACAAAGGATGCAAATTAATCCAAGGCAATTCATAATGTTGAAGTCAATTTCAAACCATGTCCTAGAGAGCCTCTTTAGTATCTTTACTAGAGGAGCATTGCGATGAGAGAGTAGTTCTAGGAAAATTAGCCTAAGAAGAAAGAATCCTATGAACAGAAAGTAAATTACAGATAAATGAGAGAAATGGAATTAACAAGACAAGGATCAAAGGAAGCTGTGTTGCCAGTAAGAATGGAAAGGAAAAAGTCTAATAAATATTTATCAGGGAAAGACATATTATATTGATCTAACATGAAGGAAAAGAAGGAATTTATAAGGTTTCAAGTTTTCTAGACTAGGTGATTAAAAATTATGGTATTTTCTTTGACCACAGTAGATAATGAGATGGTTTTGTTTTGCCGGAAATAATGAGATAAGAGTTCTGACTTTGTATTTGAGAGGACAATGAAATATCTGAAGATGTCCTCCAGACAGCTAAAAATTTAATTTGGGACTTGAGTTGGAGAGAATAGCTGATAGTAAAGAGTTTTGAAAATACAAATAAGTTAACTGACATACTAGAAGAAAAGAGCTTTTAAGAGATACCCACAGTAAAGAAACTGAGGGTTATGAGAAAAGGAGCTGAGTGGAAAGCTCTTCAAAAAAAAAGAAAAAAATGAAGAGAAAGAAAAAGCTCCATATTACCCAACCAATCTACAGATTCAAAGCAATCCCTATCGAAATTCCAATGATGTCTTTCACAGAAATAAAACAAACTATCCTAAAATTTGTGTGCACCTGCAAAAGATCCCCCAAAGCCAAAGCAGTCTTGAGAGAGAACAACAAAGCTGGAAGCATCACACTCCCTGATTTCAAACTACATTGCAAAGCGATAATCAAAAAAGTATGATACACACACAAAAGGACACATGGATCAATGGAGTAAAATAGAAATCTCCAGAGATAAACTCACACATATTCAGGCACTTAATTTATGACAAAGTAGCCAAGAATATACACTGGGGGAAAGGAAAATCTCTTCAAAAACACTGTTGGGAAAATTGGACCTGTGAAAGAATGATATTAGACCACTATCTAACACTATACACAAAAATTAACTCCAAATGGAATACAGGCTTCAACGTAAGCCCTAAAACCATAAAACTCCTAGAAAAAAAATATAGGTGGTAAGCTCCGATATGTGAGTCTTTGCAGTATTTTTTTATTTGACAGCAACAAAATAAAAAACAAGTGAAACTACCTCAAAGTAAAAAGCTTCTTCCCAGCAAAGGAAACCCACAATAAAATGAAAACGCAACCTACAGTATGAGAGAAAATATTTGCAAATTATATATCTGATAAGGGGTTAATATCAAAATATATGAAGAACTCATACAATTCAATATCAAAAAGGAAAACAATCCAATTTTAAAATGGAATTAATTAGACATTTTTTCCAAGAAGACATACAGATGGCCAACAAGTACATGAAAGGGTCTTCAATATGACTAATTATCAGAGAAATACAAATCAAAACCACAGGGAGATATCACCTCATACCTGTTGGAATGACTGTTACCAAAAAGATAAGAGGTAAATGTTGATGAGCATGTAAAGAAAAGAAAACCCTTGTGCACTGTAGGTGGGAATGTAAATTTATGTAGCCATTATGGAAAACAGTTATGGAGGTTTCTGAAAATATTAAATAGAACCCACCATATGATTCAACTAGTACCATTCCTCGGTACTATCTGAAGAAAACAAAACCACCAACTTGAAAAGATATATGCACCCCCATGTTCACTGCGAACAAAGCTAGTGGAGGTGATGGAATTTCAGCTGAGCTATTTCAAATGCTAAAAATTGATGCTGTGAAAGTGCTACACTCAATATGCCAGCAAATTTGGAAAACTCAACTATGGCCACAGGACTGGAAAATGTCAGTTTTCATTTCAATCCCAAAGAAGGGCAATGCCAAAGAATGTTAAAACTACCACACAATTTCACTTATTCACACACTATCAAGGTAACACTCAAAATTCTCCAAACTAGGCTGCAACAGTATGTGAACCGTGAACTTCCAGATGTTCAAGCTGGATTTAGAAAAGGCAGACGAACCAGAGATCAAATTGTTAACATCCACTGGATCACAGAAAAAGCAAGAGAATTCCAGGAAAACATCTACTTCTGCTTCATTGACTATACCAAAGCATTTGACTATTTGGATCACAACAAACTGTGGAAAATTCTGAAAGAGATGGGAATACCAGACCACCTGACCTGCCTCCTGAGAAAACTGTATGCAGGTCAAGAAGCAACAATTAGAACTGGACGTGGAACAACAGACTAGTTCCAAATTGGGAAAGGAGTACCTGAAGGCTGTATATTGTCACCCTGCTTATTTAACTGATATGCAGAGTACATCATGAGAAATGCTGGACTGGATGAAGCATAAGCTGGAATGAAGATTTCCAGGAGAAATGTCAATAACCTCAGATATGCATATGATACCACCCTTATGGTAGAAAGCAAGGAGTAACTAAAGAGCCTCTTGATGAAAGTGAAAGAGGAGAGTGAAAAAGTTGGCTTAAAACTCAACATTCAGAAAACTAAGATCATGGCATCCGGTTCCATCATTTCATGGCAAATAGATGGGGAAGTAATGGAAACAGTGAGAGACTATTTTGGGGAGCTCCAAAATCACTGCAGATGGTGACTGCAACCATGAAATTAAAAGATGTTTGTTCCCTGGAAGAAAAGCTATGACCAACCTAGACAGCATATTAAAAAGCAGAGACATTACTTTACCAACAAAGGTCTGTCTAGTCAAAGCTATGGTTTTTCCAGTAGTCATGTATGGATGTGAGAGTTGGACCATAAAGAAAGTTGAGCACCAAAGAATTGGTGCTTTTGAACTGTGGTGTTGGAGAAGACTCTTGAGAGTCCCTTGGACTACAGGAGATCAAACCAGTCAATCCTAAAGGAAATCAGTCCTGAATATTCATTGAAAGGGCTGATGCTGAAACTGAAGCTCCAATACTTTGGCCACCTGATGTGAAAACTGACTCATTGGAAAAGACCCTAATTCTGGGAATGGTTGAAGGCAGGAGGAGAAGGGGACGACAGAGGATGAAATGGTTGGATGGCATCACTGACTTGATGGACATGAGTTTGAGCAAGCTCCAGGAGTTGATGATGGACGGGCAAGCCTGGCGTGCTGTAGTCCCTGGGGTTGCAAAGAGTTGGACACGACTGAGCGATTGAACTTAACTGAACTAAATGTTCACTGCAGCATTATTTACAATTGCCAAAATATGGAACAAATGTAAATGTCCAAGGGTGGATGAATTGTTATAGAAAATGTGGTATATGTACAGTAGAATATTATCTGGCCATTAAAAGAAGGATATCTTGCCACTTGAAACAATGTCAATGGACCTTGAGAACATTATGCCAGAGAGTCTACTTTGGTTTGAGCCCAAATTTTGCCACTAGTAACTATCTCAGTTCAGTTCAGTTCAGTCACTCAGTCATGTCCGATTCTTTGTGACCCCATGAATCTCAGCACGCCAGTTCTCCCTGTCCATCACCAACTCCCGGAGTTTACTCAACCTCATGCCCATTGAGTTGGTGATGCCATCTAGCCATCCCTTAAGCAAATAGCAGTCTTTTTAAGTTTATTTATCTGTAAAGTAAGTCAGTAAAACCTATCTTTATTTTGAGGATTAAATGATGTGTCTGGGTAAAAATCTCTAATTTTGCTGGGCATGTAACAAAGACTCAATAAAATTCTTTTCCTCTCTCTTCTCCCATATGAAGATAGATGGAATCATATATTAATGTTTATTTAGTTATATACTATCTCATTCCAAGCAATATGCTAAATTGTAAGAGATAAAATACCTAGGGATAAACCTAAGGAGGCAAAAGACTTGTACTCTGAAAACTATAAGATGCTGATTAAAGAAACTGAAGATGATACAGATAGAAAGATATACCATGTTCTTGGATTAGAAGGATCAATACTGCCAAAATGATTATACTACCCAAAGCAATCTACATATTCAAAACAATCATTATCAAATTACCAATTGTATTTTCACAGAACTAGAACAAAAAAAATCTTAAAATTTATGTGAAAACACAAAAGACCTCAAGTAATCAAAGCAATCCTAAGAAAGAAAAATGTAGCTGGAAGAATCAGGATCTTGACTTCAGACTACTCTATGAAGCTTCAGTCATTAAAACAGTTTGGCACAAAAATAGAAATATAGGTCAATGGGACAGGATAGAAAGCCCAGAGGTAAACCCACACATCTATGGTCAATTAATCTATGACAAAGGTGGCAAAAATACACATTGGAAAAAAGATAGTCTCTTCAATAAGTGGTACTGGGAAAACTGAACTGCTACATGTAGAAGAATAAAATTAGGACATTCTTTAACACCACATATAAAATTAAATTCAAAATGGATTAACAGCCTAAATGTAAGACTGGATACTATAAAACTCAGAGAAAAAAACACAGGCAGAACACTCTGACATAAATATGTCAAACAGCAATATCTTTTTGGATAGTCCCCTAGAGTAATAAAAATAAAAACAAAAATAAGCAAACGGGGCCTAGTTAAACTTAAAAGCTTTTGCACAGCAAAACAAGCCATAGACAAAATTAAAAGACAACCTATGGACTGGGATAAAATATCTGCAAACAATGCTACTGACAAGTGATTAATTTCCAAAATATACAAACAGCTTATATAGCTTAATATCAAAAAAACAAACAACCCAATAAAAAAAAAATGGACCAAAGATCTGAAAAGACATTTCTCCACACAAAGATGACCAAAACGCACACAAAAAAAAAATCCAACATTGCTAATTATCATAGAAATGCAAATCAAAACTACAATGAAGTGTCACCTCACATCCATCAGAATGGCCATTACCAAAAAGTCTACAGATAATAAATGCTAGGGCTTCCCTGGTGGCTCAGCTGGTAAAGAATCCACCTGCAATGTGGGAGACCTGGGTTTGATCCCTGAGTTGGGAAGATCCCTTGGGGAAGGGAATGGCTACCCACTCCAGTATTCTGGCCTGAAGAATTTCATGGGCTGTATTGTCCATGGGCTCGCACAGAGTCAGACACAACTGAGCGACTTTGACTTTCACTTGCACAGAAAGGTATGGAGAAAAGGCAACCTTCCTACACGGTTGTAGATATGTAAATTGGTACAGCCACTACGGAGAACAGTATGGAGGTTTCTTAAAAAACTAAATATAGAGCTACCATATGATTAAGGGATCCCACCCCTGGGTTATATCTGGAGGAAACTATAATCTGAAAAGATACATGCACTTTCAGTGTTCACTGCATCACTATTTACAATAGCCAGGACATGGGAACAACCTAAATGTCTATCAACAGATGAATGGATAAAGAAGATGTTTTATACACACACAAAAACACACAGTGGAATATTACTCAGCCACAAAAATGAAGGAAATAATGCCATTTGTAGCAACATGGATGGACCTAGAGATTACCATACTAAGTGAAATAAGCAAGACAGAGAAAGACAAATATCATATAATATCACTTATATGTGGAATCTAAAAAAAGACAAAAATGAATTTATTCACAAAACAGAAATAGACTCACAGACATAGAAAACAAACTTATGGTTACCAAAGGGAAAAAAAACAGGAGGGATAAATTAGAAGGTTGGGTTAGCATATAGAGACTACTGTATATAATATAGATAACCAACAAGGATCTATTGTTTAGCAGAGGGAACTATACTCAATATTTTATAATAACCTATAAGGGGAAAGAATCTGAAAAAGAACAGATAAATGTATAACTGAAACACTTTGCTTTACACTTGAAATTAACACAACCTTGTAAATCAACTATACTGTACTTCAATTTTAAAACAACTCAAAAAAAAATTAAAATAAAGCTAATGAAATTAGTGAAGTTGTCCACTGAAGGGAACAAAATGCTTAGCAATTCTTCCACATCAGTCTACCCCCTGTGATTTTGCAGTGAAATTATCAACAGAACAAAGAAGGGAGTATACATTTAAATATATTTCATTCATAATTCTGGAGAAGGGAATGGCAACCCACTCCAGTACTCTTGCCTGGAAAATCCCGTGGACGGAGGAGCCTGGTAGGCTGCAGTCCATGGGGTTGCGAAGAGTCGGACACGACTGAGCAACTTCACTTTCACTTTTCACTTTCATGCATTGGAGAAGGAAATGGCTACCCACTCCAGTGTTCTAGCCTGGAGAATCCCAGGGACGGTGGAGCCTGGAGGGCTGACATCTATGGGGCTGCACAGAGCCGGACACGACTGAAGCGACTTAGCAGCAGCAGCATTCATAGTTCCCATTCATTACAGTGGAGATTTTTCTCTGTAAAATGGAAGGCAGTACTCAGTTTGATTAAAATTTCTTTTGGTAGTAATAAAATTGCTATCTTGAAACAAAAAAGAAAAAAGAAAATCACACCTTAACTAAGATTATACATGATTTGGTTACCATGGAGATGGGCCAGAGTCTTTTATATATTGTATTTAATCTAACCTTTAATATTTTTCTTTATTGCAGTTTCTGTAACCTAACCACTATATTTGCAATAGAGACCTTTGGAGTGATTCCCAGGTAATGACTGGTGCCTAATTAGGCCTTAATTCGGGAAGTTGTGAGAGATACAGAAAAGTAAACATAACTCTCCCCTCTTTTCCTGGGACCTTTATACTTCTGTCCTATATGTTACATCCTAAAGGTTGTATGTAGCTATTATACCAAGGATACAGGAGGAAGGAATTCCTGAGAACTGTTACTGCACCTCAGGTCCCCTTATGCTCATCCTCCTCAACAGCCATTGTCTTCCCAATCAAAAGTGACTTTCAACTCCACCTAAGGGCACATGGTAGACTGCAGCAGTGAGGACAGGAAGGAGGCAGTGGCTGGCCCCTGCTGACCCTGGGTCAGCCCTTGGCCACCAGTCATCATTCCAATGCATACAGGAAACAGGTAGGAAAAGCATTTCCCTGGATTCAGCTTTAGTTTCCTTCAAGAGCAGAGTAAAAAGTCTCAACACAAAAGTTGGGACTGCAGATAATTATCTCTGTCCTGTGTTTTTTGTTTTGGGAAACATTAAACAAGAGTGGACCATAAACAATTAAATTACTTACGGCCCTATTTTAAATATTACTGACTCCTTAATTTTTTGTGCTATTGGGAGGTTAATGGCGTGAATAATCTGCAAATGAGATAAGTCATGCCTGTTTCTAATAATAAGTAACTTTGGGAAACATATATAGCCTTTTTGCAGGAACTTCTCTTTCTCATTAGATCTATACGTTTGATTTAGATGAATATTAAGAACATATGTCCATGCACGTATCCACCAACAGAAGGGGGAAGGAGTTGATGAGTTAGGAAGGAGAGGAAAGAGTAAAGGGAGATCTCACCTTCTAAGGGATCTCACCAATTTGCCCAACTCACCCCCCAGGAGCTGGACTTCAGCAACCAGAGAATATGGTGCAACACAGGGATAGTCCTGTAGTTTAGTGACTGCAGTTCAGTCTCTGTCATGCCTGAGCCCTGAAGGGTCCAGAGGCAGAGCAGAGGTTAGCTGGTGGTAAGAGAGCCCTTTTCATGAGCAAACCAGTGACTGGAGATCAGTTTGTAGGAGGCAAAGATCTTACTGTTTCTTTGCTTTCTGGCCCAATTCTCAACCACCTCAGGTTTTCCACTGTGTCCTTTGGAGTTGCCACCATTTAACCAGCAAATTCACCTAAGTCCTGTCCTCTGAGCTCTGTCTGTGCCACAGAGCACCATCACTACTCGCAGATCATGATTCTTCTGAAAAACAAAAAACAAAATTTTAAAACACTTATCCTTTGAGGTTCATGGCATCTGATGTACCCCTGTCCTTTCTCTATCCTCACTGCTGCACCCTCTCCAAAGTCCCCCTTATTCAATGTCATCTTGTTTTCACCTCTATGGCAAGCACCCACCATCGTGGCCTTTCCTAATCCTTGATGTCCCCCTCCTGCACCGTACTTTGGCCATCCTCTCCCAATGTTATGTCTTAGGCATGATCAATACTATCGTAACTTCTCTGCTTACTAAAGCATCAATTCAGACATCTTATTCTCAGACATTCCCAGTTTGCTAATTCAGCTACACCCACTACATCTCTTCTTCATCTTCATTGGGACCTTAACCTCTACATTTTTTTTCTTTTAGTGAAGGCATGTAGTATCTTTTTTTTTTTTTTTTTTTTTTTTTTGGTTGCAGGATGCAAAATCTTTAGTTGCAGCCTGCAAGTTCTTAGTTGTGGCACATGGGATCTAGTTCCCTGACCAGAGATAGAACCCAGACCCCCTGCATTGGGAGCATGGAGTCTTAGCTCTACCACCAGGGAAGTCCCTTCACCTCTACTTCTAACCTCTTCCTTTTTATTTCCTATTTTCTTACATTTCAGACAAGGCCTACTGTTTTAATAACTACTTTCTAGTACGCTCTTACATTTCTAGAATGTGGCGCCCCCCTCTTGACAAGCCCCGAACTACCTACTTTCTTTGCAGTGACATCTGATGAGCCAAGTAAAGAAAGTTACACAACAGAGCAAGTTGATCACCAACTTTATATAAATCGCCAACACTACCTGGAAATCTTTCTTTCTCTGGTCAACCAAAGTTTCCACTCTCTGTAACAACTACTTCAACACTGAAGTAGTCCAACTCCATGCAGCCCCATGGATTGTAGCCCTCCAGGTTCCTCTGTCCATGAGATTCTCCAGGCAAGAATACTGGGTTGCCATTTCCTACCCCAGGTGATCTTCCGGACTCAAGGATTGAACCTGAAGTCCCTTATGTCTCCTGCACTGGCATGTGGGTTCTTTACCACTAGCACCACCTGGGAAGCCCCATTTCCCTCTATTTCATCCCTATTTTGCTAACCCATTCAGCCTGCTTTCTATCTTATCACTCCACCCATTACTTCTCATTAGAATCGCTTTGACCTGCACTAAATCTGTTGGGCACTTTCTTACATATTTTATCTCTGTTGAAATTCTCACATGCTCATGCATTGTTCTCCTGACCTCAGTGAGCACCTTCATGACCATTATTTTGAACTCTTTATCAGGTAAATTACCTATCTCCATTTCATGAAGGTCTGCTTCTGAAGATTTTATCTTGTACTTTTGTTTGGAAATTATTTCTCTGTTTCTTCATTTTTCTTGATTTTTCTGTGTTAATTTCTATGCAATAGATAAAATAGCCACTTCTCCCAAGCAAGAAGGAGTAGTCTTATATAGGAGATGGAACTTACTGTTCGGCCTAGCCCTAGCTGTTGTCTTTTAAACCCTCGTGATTGCCCAAGCTGCCTTCTTAGTTCTTAGCATTCCCCAGCAGGTGAGGGTATACCAGGACCTGTCAGTGTCCCAGAGAGAGGATCTCAGTCAGAAGCGAGATGCGGACTGGCTGGAAGCTGGACCTGCAAGCAGCAGCTTTCAAAGTATGCAAGTGGACTACTTTTGGAAAAAGACTGAAAGATGGGCCTTGCTTTCTCTTCCCTCTGTGCTGAGCCCTGAGAGAATAACCAGTTAAGAATAGTTTCTCTGTCACAGTCCTGTGGGACTGGTGAACTTAAGCTCTGCTGCCTACCAGAGCCAGGTGATCGAGTGGTGTGTCCCCCTGAGGAACAGCCGTGGAAGCTGGGGCATCAGGAGAATGCACAGCATCATTTCAGAGATATCATTATTTCAGGTGACCTGGGGAGAGGCAGCAGGAGGGAGGGCACCTGCTTGCTTCCCCAGTCTCTGGGGAGGCCACTAAATTAGTGTCATATTAGGAGCCTAGCCCTCAGATGGCAGCTTCTAGCTAAGCTAGAAGCAACTAGCTCATTGGAAAAGGTCCTGATGCTGGGAAGGATCGAAGGCAAAAGGAGAAGAGGGCAGCAGAGGATGAGATGGTTGGATAGCATCACCAACTCAATGGACATGAACTTGGGTGAACTCCGGGAGATGGTGAGGGACAGGGAGGCCTGGCCTGCTGCAGTCCATGGGGTCTCAAAGAGTTGGACACGACTTAGCAACTGAAAATCAACAACTCTTTCGTGGAAAGATTGGGAAATGAGCATTTCAGTCTGCAGATTCTGTGCTGGGGTGGAGAGGGAGTGATGGATAGTGAGAGAGGTTGTTAGCTACCAAGAGTTCTCAGGAGCCCATTTGTTTGCTCTACCCTTGTGGGTTTCATGGGTGAAGCCCAGTTGGCTTTCAAAGCTAGGTGTTTGAGGGTCCCATCCCTCAGGTGGAAGTTTTAAAAGTTGAGGTACGGGATATTAGACCCAAACCTCTTAGGGAGAAGTTAAGAGTTGTGAGTTCCCTCTCCATTGTATATTGCTTTGCTAGGATGGGGTTTTGGGTGAGATGGTGCCTCAGTCTCTCCCTACCTGTTTTTATGTGGGTGGGCTTTTCTCATTCACCCAATGTGTAGGCGTTGCTCAGTGAATTTCTGGTTTTCTTTTGGAGGGAATTGTTCTACACATAGCTGTAGGACAGGTATGTCTGTGGGAGGATGTATGTTCAGGAGCTCCCTTTGTCAGCATCTTGAACTGGAACTGGCCTACACTAAATCTGACAGACACTGCTCAGTCCACGTTATATTGGAGCGTTCATTAGAGTTGACTTTCCCTTTGGCTGCCGTATTGCTCTATAGGTTTTCCTAGCCTTCTGTAGCCATTCTCTATCTTTCTAGTAAAGAGTCTTAACTTACAACCTGTATCACCAGCCATTAAGTGCTGACCTCCCTCCCTTAGGGAGGGCTCAGTCCTGGTTTTCTGAGCTGCTCATTCTGGCAAGCTCATCCATACCCATGATTTCAGTTAGCATGTATAAATACACAACTCCCAAATCATATCTCTAACCCCACCCAGGGTCATATATCCCACTGTCTACTTAACCTCTTCTCTGGGATATCTCAAAGACTGGTCAGACTGCACATGTCCAAAAATGAACTCATGATCTTATCACCCATTCCCTTACCCCATTATTTGTCTTACTCTAAAACTAACTCATCAAGGTAATTGCATTCAGCTCTATGGATCATCATTGCACAGTTCCCAGAGAATTCAATCCCATAGGCTATAATGTGAATGCTGCCCTCTGGAGTTGAATAATATGGTGACCCTATTTTTCCAATGTCCCCTCTCTCAGGAAATAGCAGATCCAACTGGACAAGCCAGACACCTAACAGTCAAAACTGAAAAACACAAAACCTAGGTTGTCACTCATATCGCTCTCTCTCTCTCCTCCACTCACCCAATCACTGACTCTCATTCATTTAACCTCTTAAATCGCCCTTAAATGAACCCACTTCTTACCAAACCCATCACCACTGCTCCACTCTAATTCAAGTTACTATTATCTCTGATCTGAATTATTGCAGTAGATCCCTAATGCTAATTTTAGTAGCTTAAAACTTTTAAGTTTCTTTCCTTAAAATGGGGACTTCTTAACATGACCTACAAAACCTTTTCTGACCTAGCTGCTACCCACTGCTCCAATCTCATTGCGTCACATTCCCTTTATTTTCTCAGCTCCAGACCTACCAACCTTCTTTCAATCCCTGGCCTTCTCCGTATACTGTTCTACAGCAGGAGCTCTGCACACGCTATTTTCTCTATCTGGGATCTCTTCCTTCCCCTCCTTACCTACTTAACTTTACCAAATTCACTTCCATTTAATTCTTCAGAGTTTAGAATAATTATTAAATGCCTCGTGGGGGCATTTCTTGACCAATTCACCAGGTTTAAATCCTACCATAGTAAGCTTTCATTGCATTACCTCTCCTACTTTGTTTTTATTAGAAGTTCAATTTTATATTTATTTTCTCGTTATCTGATTAATGGTTATGTCCCCGCTAAAATGTAAGCTCTCTAAGGGTGAAGACTATGTCTGTTTTTACCCATTATTTTATCAGAACCCAGCACAGTCGTGGCATATATCAGATCATTTATTAAATTAGTTATTTAATTTCTAAGAAGGAAATGATTCACCGGAGCTAGATTAAGCCTGTATCCACAGAGAAGGAAGGTCAGACTAATGAGGCTGGGGACCTGGGAAAAGTGTAAAATGGCAAACAAATAATTATGATTTAAAAGGGAACTAAAAACGAAAGTCAGGCACCAGGACACAAAGTAGAAAACAGCACAGTGTTTGGCTTAAGAAATAAATCTACTCTGATGGGAGACACATGAGGTGAAGTGGCAAGAGGTCTGGATCCCAGCTGAAAGTAGCATCTATGTACACACACACACACACACCTGGCTGACCCTGTTGTACCCCAAATTCAATATGCCCAAAAGTAAGCCAACCATATTCACAAATACCCTCTAAAGTGTTCTTACCTGTGAATTTCCTATGTCAGTGAATGGTGCTACCATCCTCAGAGTTACCTCATCCCCAAATTTAGGAGATATCCTTTATTCTAACACATTTCTCAAACCTCACATCTTAATCACCAAGATCACCCAACCTAACTTCCAAATATACCTTAGATCTATCCATTTCTCCCCATTTTTACAGCCATTAATCAATTAAAACTCTCACCATATTTGGTTATTATAAAAACCTCATAAATGGTTTTCTCCCTCCATATTCATGCATCCCACTCATCTATTCTTCACACTACAATCAGAATCATCCTTCAAAAATGAGAATGCTGTATCACATGTCTGAAACTCCCTCTTGCCTTTATACTAAAATTCACCCTCTGTAGCTTGTCTTTTGCACCTTGAACAACTTATGATTCCTCATCGCTAATCACTGAGCATTAGCACCTAAATTCCAGTCACACTGAACTGGTTTTAGTTCCAGAATGTCTGGGGCTGATCTTCAGGTTTTCTTATGCTTCCATGCCTTTGTAATGCATCTCCCTTAGCCTAAAATATTATGCCCACTCTTAGTCTCCTTCTCCACTCTCTAACATTTTTATCTAACTCTCACTAATACTCCTAATCCTTGTCATATCTAGCTAACTCTCACCTATCTCCATTGGAAGGCCTTCCTGACACCTGGCTCCCATAGCACTTTATACTTCCTTCTCTCATCATGTTCATCAATCACACAGTCTATCTTCCTCTCTGGTCAGCCTCAAACACCGTGAGGGGAGACAAGATGTTTTATAAATCTCATTCATCACTGATAGAGAACAATGGCGTAGCAGCTAGCCATTCAAAAAATATTTGACTAAATTAACAACCAAAACGAGCAATGACTTCTAATGACTTTTCTTTTCTTATTTCAGTCCAAATGCTTACACGGTTGCAGCTTTCCTCTTTCTCCTGATGCTACTGTTCCTCAGTATTCTCATTTTGAGCTACTTCCATTATATGAGGATTTACAGAAAACAAATTTATGAACCACTGCACAAATCTGAAAGAAGAAAAAAGAAAAACTAAGAGAAATGAAAGTCTATTTACTATGAATGTAGAAGTATGTATATATACTTACATTGAGAGTGTATTTTGACCAAGAAATATTAGGTATAAGCTCATAGTATTATCAAATTCAAAATCTGAAAATTGTTCTCAAATTATCCCAAACAGAAATATTTTAATATATAATGTATGTTATTAAATTAATCCTTAATGTGTTCACTTTTATCTTAAAATAAAAGACTATATAGTCTTAAATAGCTTAAAAAAATTTTTTTAGTAGTTGTGTTCTCTTGCTCTCTCTCGCCTACCTTCCTTGATTCAGCATTGTGATTTTGAAATTAATCCATGTTTTTCCATGCATCTATAATTCTTTTTATTGCTAATTGTTCTCTTGTACTGTTGGTTAACTTATTAACATTTGAGATTTTTTCTAGGTTTAGACTCTTAGAAATAAAACTGCTATGAATAGTTTTTTATAGGTCATTGTGTGGATGTAGATTTTAATTTTTCTTGGGGAAACACTTAGTAAATGGTTCATTCATATGGTAGATATGTCTTTTTCAGAAACTGACAAACTGTATTCTAAATTTTGTTTTTTGTCAGAGTAAATGAGAGTTTTAGTTTTTAAAAGGTTTAAAACTTTAAAAACTACCTAAATTTGGCTATTACACTCCTTCCTAAGAATGAAAGTAAATTTTTGAAAGTATATAAAAATGTGTCAAATATTATTTTGCATAAAACTTTTCATATGAACCTTATAAAGCTGTAGTTAATTTGTGTAGAAAAGATTTAATAAGTATGTGAGTTTAAATAGTCTGTCAAGATATATATGAAATATAACCTATAATATTGAAAATAGGAAACTAAGGCTCTAAGTCTTAATTTTAAGTTTTCAAATTTTATTCTGATGCTCAAAATAAGCTTCTTAAGTTGTCCAAATGTGTGACCACAGCTTTCTAAACAGTTAATATTTGAAGAATAAAGATCCAACTAGAGGAGAATGAGCAAGAGATTGTGTGTGTGTGTGTGTGTGTGTGTGTGTGTGTGTGCGCGCGCGCGCGCACGCTTACAGAACTGACTTACGGAGGAAAAGCAGAAGACACATGGTGCGCTGAGCTTTAGCTGCGCGGGGCCCACCCAGGGGGGAGGTACCCTAGTCCATGTTCTTCATTCCCTCCTTGGACTTTAATTTCACAAACTGGTTCCTTTCCCCTCACCAAATAGGGGGAGGGAAAGTATTGCCTTATGTGATTGTGGAGGCTAGCTAGACAAGTCTGAAAGCCATAGCACAGACATCAGGAATATCAGGAATGGAAGATGAGGAGCAAGATGGGACTTGCTATTTGATTTGTTGGGACAAATCAAAGCTATTTCCACATATAGAATTTCTCATTTTACTAAGATCAGGAACAAGACAGGGATACCTGCTGTTCATCACTGTTTTGAAGGCTCTTATATTACAAGAGGAAAATAAAATAACCATTACAAATACAATGAGAAAGGAGATAATTAATTTCAATAATTAATTATATGCCTAGGAAACCCAAAATTAGGAACAAGAATTCCTAGAATAAGACCTTTGGATGGCTCAATATGAGATAAATATTTAAAATTCAATACCTTTTCTCTATAATATTTATATAACACTTTAACAGTTAGCAATAGAAATAATAAAAATTATTCATTGTAGTGACAAGTTACACAGAATTAAACTTAACATGAAAGGTATATGCCATACATGAAAAACATCTTTAAAAGCTTTATTGAAAGGGGTTTTGAAACAAGATCTGATAGAAATGTTTGATGGAAAGAAGAAAGAAAATGATCCAATTTAAAATGAGCAAAAGATATAGTCATTTCACAGAAGAGCATATTCAAATAGCCGATAAACATATTAAAAACTTTTTTTACTGTGTACTATGTGCCAGAAACTGTCCCAATGATTTATCTAATACTCTTCAACCATACTATGCAATGGGAACGATTATTATCCCATTATAGAGACAAGGAAACTGGCACAGAGAGGGTAAATAACTTTTCTAAGGTCACACAGGTGGTAAGCGAAGTCTCAGGCAGACTGGCTCCAAATCAGGTGCTTATCTACCAAGGATGCTCAGTCACACCAGCAGTCAGAAAGATATAAACCAAAGTTGCAATGCGGTTACTTTTCTTGCCTGATGGCAAAAACTCAGAAGGGTAACACTCTTGAGAAGGAATGAGAATCAGGGATGAGGAAAAAAAAAAAATTCTTCTGCATTTCTGAAGGAAAAGTGAATTTTTAAAGCTTTTTTGGAAAACAATCTAGCAAGATCAATTAAAAATATTAATCCTCTTGGACCCACTCTTAGAAATTAGAAGTTTATCCATGAGCTAGGAGGACCAACATATACATACAATCAAATAGTTTTATAAACATGCTGTGCTAGTTGCTCAGTCATATCTGACTCTTTGCGACCCCGTGGACTGTAGCCCACCAGGCTCCTCTGTCCACGGGGATTCTCCAGGCAAGAATACTGGAGTGGGTAGCCATGCCCTCCTCAGTTTCATATACATCTATGTGTGTGTGTATACACACACACACACACACACACACACACATATATACACAGAATTATATGTACACACACACAATATATATACATACATACATATATATATACATACACATACACCTACAGAATGCTAGGGGGAGAACTAATGTCTATCAGCAGGCGATCGGTTGAATAAATGATTGTTCATTGACCATATTGATCAGTGTGTTGATTTAGAATATTTTCCACAAGATTTTGTTAAATGAGAAAAGCAAGCAGCAGGGAAGTCTTTACAGTATGATCCCATTATATAAGTGAAACAAAAGTTCTGATATGAGAACACAGGAAAAGGTATGGAAAGATACACAGCATTTTGTGTACATCATGTGCATATGTATGTCTATACACTGTGGGAGGGGGAGAAGGGATGTATCAAGAGATGTAGAGAGGGAAGATATAAAAACTCTCAAAACTGGAGAAGATGGAAAACAATAGAAAAATAGCATGGAAATTTTTCTCTTTATGTAAAATGATGTGTCTTCATAAAGACAAATGAAAGAGTGACTGTCAACAAACTAAGACCCCGTGCAGCCAAATAATAAAGATAAATATTAAAAAAAGAGAGACGGAAATTGGAGATGGGGGCATGCTGAGAGAGTAGCTCAGCTCACAAAGGGCAAAGGGAGTGTTTCGAGTAAGAGGCGAAAGGAACCAGTAGTTTGAGCCCTCAGTAAGAGGTGTTATGATGTGCTTAATGAAGAGTGCCTGCCTGCCTCTCCCCATACCTGTAGTTTGTTCAACTGGGTTAGAAGGAGAGGAAGGCCACAGTGAGGAAGAGAAACAAAGCAGCTGGGTACACCAAAAAAGAATTTGGGAACTTTGCCACAACCTAAGGACAGTAATGCACACAGCATCCACTATCACTCAACACTGCCTGGCAATTCAACACTATTTCCCTAGTATATTTGTATTCCCTATTTAATACCTTCTCTCTCTCCAAATTCCCTATAATCCACCCTTCCCCAACTCTCCAGTGATCATCTTGCCTCTTATTCATTGAGAAAATCAAAACAAATCAGAAAAGAACTGCCCTCATTTGTCTTCTACACCATCTGTACCATCATATGCACCTTATATGCTGTCAGTACAGATAAAGCATCGCTCCTACTAAAGGCCAACCCCTCACTTAAGCATTGGATTTCTTCCCCTTCTTACCTCACCCATGGAAACCCCCCTCTCCTACATTATCAATTTCTCTCTTTTTACATACAAGTGTACTTTGGTACTTGACATCATGGATGTCTCAAAGGCATTTCCAACTTAAAATGACCAAAACTTAAGTCTTGACTTCCCTCTTCCCAATTATCATATCTTATAAATGGCACCATCATCCACACAATTTTTGAAGTCAAAATCTAGAAGTTATCCTAGAGTATTCTAACAAACTTAACATCCAATCCATTAGCAAGTCCTGTATACTCTACTTCCAAAATATTCAAAATTAATTTCTTAGATGTTCCTCACTACCCCCAATATCCAAGCCACCTTTTAGCATGCACTTGTGGAATAGCTTCCTAATTGGTTGAAACAATTAGTTTTGCTTTTCCCTTTGTCTCCTGATATTTGTAGGGCTGATTTCTTGTCATTCAGATCTGAGCTTAATCAATCTGATTTCAGTATTGACCATGGTGATATACCAGACGGTGAATACCGAAATAGTCAGATTGATTATATTCTTTGCAGCCAAAGATAGAGAAGCTCTATACAGTCAGCAAAAACAAGACCAGGAGCTGACTGTGGCTCAGATCATGAACTCCTTATTGCCAAATTCATACTTAAATTGAAGAAAGTAGGAAAAACCACTAGACCATTCAGGTATGACCTAAATCAAATCCCTTATGATCATACAGTGGAAGTGACAAATAGATTCAAGGGATTAGATCTGATAGATGGAGTGCCTGAAAAACTATGGACAGAGGTTCATGACATTGTACAGGAGGCAGAGATCAAGACCATCCCCAAGAAAAAGAAATGCAAAAAGGCAAAATGGTTGTCTGAGGAGGCCTTACCAATAGCTGAGAAAAAAAGAGAAGCAAAGGCAAAGGAGAAAAGGAAAAATATACCCATTTGAATGCAGAGTTCCAAAGAATAGCACGGACAGATGAGAAAGCCTTCCTCAGCGATCAATGCAAAGAAATAGAGGAAAACAATATAATGGGAAAGACTAGACATCTCTTCAAGAAAATGAGAGATACCAAGGGATCATTTCATGCAAAGATGGGCACAATAAAGGACAGAAATGGTAGGAACCTAACAGAAGCAGAAGACATTAAGAAGAGGTGGCAAGAATACACAAAAGAACTATACAAAAAAGATCTTTATGACCCAAATAACCACAATGGTGTGCTCACCCACCTAGAGTCAGACATCCTGGAATGCAAAGTCAAGTGGGCCTTTGGAAGCATCACTATGAACAAAGCTAGTGGAGGTGGTGGAATTCCAGTTGAGCTGTTTCAAATCCTAAAAGATGATGCTGTGAAAGTGCTGCACTCAATATGCCAGCAAATTAGGAAAACTCAGCAGTGGCCATAAGACTGGAAAAGATCCATTTTCATCCCAATCCCAAAGAAAGGCAATGTCAAAGAATGTTCAAACTACCACACAATTTCACTCATCTCACAAGCAAGTAAAGTAATGCTCAAAATTCTCCCAGCCAGGCTTCAACAGTAGGTGAACTGTGAACTTCCGGATTTTCAAGCTGGATTTAGAAAAGGCAGAGGAACCAGAGATCAAATTGCCAACATCTATTGGATCATTGAGAAAAACATCTGTTGGATCATCGAGAAAAACATCTATTTCTGCTTTATTGACTATGCCAAAGCCTTTCACTGTGTGGATCACAATAAACTGTGGAAAATTCTGAAAGAGATGGGAATACCAGACAACCTGACCTGCCTCCTGAGATATCTGTATGCAGGTCAAGAAGCAACAATTAGAACTGGACATGGAACAACAGACTGGTTCCAAATCGGGAAAGGAGTACGTCAAGGCTGCATATTGTCACCCTGTTTATTCAACTTATATGCAGAGTACATCATGAGAAACGCTGGGCTGGATGAAGCACAAGCTGGAATCAAGACTGCCAGGAGAAATATCAATAAGCTCAGATATGCATATGATACCACCCTTATGGCAGAAAGCAAAGAGTAACTAAAGAACCTCTTGATGAAAGAGGAGAGTGAAAAAGTTGGCTTAAAACTCAACATTCAGAAAACAAAGATTATGGCATCCGGTCCCATCACTTCATGGCAAATATTTCCATGGGAAATAATGGA